CTTTGACGCACGAAGATGACGTTTGAGGCGGAGAGGTTCTTCTTGCCCTATCCCTACCGTATTAGCCTAGGTTTCAGGCCATGTCATCCAGCTTCGCTGGGTTCTGAAAACACGCATTTTTGAGCCAAGTTGACGCATCACGACAACTTCAAGACACCGGTACCGGTACGTTGACACCAATCAAGTCGAACACAACAGCATACCGGTAGCGCAATCAACCTAGATTGCAGCTATTTGCTGCCGTAGTTGATCTCAGCTGGGAATCCTCTGCTTGTTGCTCATCCTTCAACTAAATGTCTACTACCTAGCTAGGATCCCTGTGATCGCCGTACGCCAGTCATTGAAAAAAGATCAAGCGTCCAATCAAATCACAGGCGACCCCGAAAAATTAGGAGCCAACTTTTAAAATGTGAAGAACGCAAGGCGACTTTCATGCGCATGTACATGCGTTGACTGTATCCCGTCAATACAATACTAGTCGAATACGTAGACTTCTACAGGGCCTTCTAAGTAATGCGCGCCGGGTATAATTCAAACCTCTGCCCCCATCGGTACCATTACCCCTAAAGCAAATCGTCTCCGGGAGACGAAATAGGGCAAGAAGAACCTCTCCGCCTCAAACGTCATCTTCGTGCGTCAAAGCTTTCCGACCTTCTTCTTCGATGATCATTCACCATTCTCGTCACATACATGCACTCATCTTTCTCGATTTCACAGCATCCCACCTCCAGCTTCCGCCATACATTATCAGCCCATAGAAACTGAGTAAGCTGATCACAAAACAGAAGGAACACATAGTTTCTTTTGTGCTGAGTTAGTTGATGTCTCTGGTGGCTTGTGCTGCAAGAAGAAGAAGAGCTACGTCTGTGATTATTTGGAATCGCCTAAAAACCACCCCAACCACCATGAGATTCGAAAGCTACGCTGTGGCCGCCGTGGCCGTTTTGGGACAATGTTTCTTTGTCCCGTCTCAAGCATGGACAACCAGTGGTCCCAATGTCAATGTTCGAACGGTGTCGTCGTCGTCTGCCATTTTGAACAAAGCACCCTGGTCCTTGGGTGCTTCCGTGGTGGCCGAAGGTCAGGTGGATTCATCATTGGAAGAATCATCTTTGGGCGATCCAGAACAAACCCCTCTGCGAGACGGGCAGAAGGGAAAAACACTCTTGGCAAACGGCTCTGTGGTATCCTTTTTTCGTGGAGGATTGGCAGCTGTCCGAATAGAAGAAGAAAATGTACAAGCCACAGAGATGTCGGCAGTTGGAAAGATACCGGATGCACTCAAGAAATCCATGACTGCCGATGCCGGTAAGTGATTGAGATTCGATACTACTGCAATGATGCTTCATACATGTATGCATACTTGGATCAAAAAATCGAACTGAGCTGATCTCATCGTGTTTTCGTTTCTTTTCGTGTAAACTTGCAATGTTGAATTACGAATGGACAGGGGGCGATCTGACGGGCCACTTGGCACAGTTCCCCGATGGCAAGTCAGGAGTTGTGGTGGCCCACAGACCTCCAATTGCTTTTGTATATAGTGATATGGATACTTTGGAAGCACCAGATGGAAAAGTTTCAGTCTTCCAAGAGTTGGCAACGCGGCCGATTTGGAATGAAACATTGGTGACTGGTTGGAATGGAAACCCCATCAGGAACGACGACAATGACAAACAAACACCTGACGGCAGTAGCATCAGAAGAAACGGGGCCATTTTTGCACCCATTCCTCAGGTCAAAGACATTGATCTAATCAACAATCCAATGCTGACAGGAAATACCATGGTGGATGTACTGGCACCGATTGGTCAAGGTCAAAATATGCTCTTGGTGGCGGACGACTTGTCCTTTGCAAGGGGCATGATGGTCGATTTCATTGGCACACAAAAAGCAAACCAAATAGGATCTATCAATAAAGGAGTCCAATTCGTCTATGCTGCCATTGACGACAGCCAAGATGTTCTGCAGAGGTTGCAATCTGCGAACTTGCTCAATGATGTCCATGTCGTGGCCACAAACCCAAAACAAGGCAGTGATGTAGAAGAGCCTGCTCGAGCCGCTGAAGCAACGGCAATTGCGGCATCTGCTTGTTCTATTGCAGAGTCGTACGCCTTGGAAGAAGGTCAAAATGCTGTGGTCATTATTGATACTCTAGACCAACACAAGAAAATGTGGGATGCCACTACTCGAACGCTTGTCGACATTTTTGGGATCGAGTCGGTGGTAAAGAGTGACCGAGAGGGAGGAGCTTCTTCCGAGATGAGAGGATTCTTCTCATCCATTATCCAACGTGCGGGACAGTACAAAAAGAAGAGGGGAGGCGGAAGTGTCACGCTTGTTTTGCTGTGTGAGCTTCCAAAGGTGCAGGCGGATGAAGATGCCGTATTTGCGAAAGAAGACTTTGAGGGAAGCAGCGAAAAAGTACGGGCTAGACTTAGTATGCTTGTTGACAAGAGTATCCCTCTTACAGCCGCCAACCTGCGAAAAATCGACATCCCTGTCCCTTCAGCCCAGGAAGGAAAGCGTCGATTGGTGCTGCAACATATTGACGACTTGATCAGCATGACAGATGGTCAAATTTGGCTTGACGAAGCTCTACGGAAAGCTGGACAATATCCACCCATCGATCCTCAGAGAAGCATCACTCGAGTGGGCATTGGGGCTGACACTAAGTCACGAGCAGATGCGCCCGCATTCCGTCGAATTGCCGAGGGTCTACGGCTGACTCTGTCTCAGGCTGCGAATATGGAGGGGGCTGAAGATACCAATGCCTCCAAGAAGCAAGTACGTAGCCAGAACGCTCTCCTGCTTGCCATGCATCAGGTTGAGGGGCGTGGTGGGCGTACTCTTGCCCAATCTTGCGTGGCCTTACTTGCCGCTTCCAAGGGGTTACTCGATGATGCCGTGGGCAGTGGAAACTTGGCAGGGACAGACGCAGGTCAGCAGTTGATGGATAACATGATCAACCATGTTCAGCAAACTGCGCCTACTGCCATGGCCCGGGTATGCCAGGATCTGGATCTCGAGGAGTCCATTCAAAAAGAGTTGTTGGAAGCCCTTGAATCTTTCTTCGAGGAAGAGTCATGACCCGACAAGAACTGTTACTGATCAATACGATGAACGTATGACAGCTCTGAATGCCCTTTTTGTAAGAGCACTGAATCTTAGAAACGAAGCAAAACAAATAGTAAATACGAAATTGTTGCTACTTTATGATCTCTTAGCGTTCCTCTCTCTTGCGTAACTCGCCCTACTACTAGCTACACTTCGTCCTCCCCTTACCAGTACGACCGACACAAGATATTTCATTCAACCCGGTAGCCCCCTCTTCATCTCAAGCGGTATTCGATGTCCTTCTGTTCAAACTGCGAATAGAGGCCTTTGAATGACAGCGAAATGCTGATATCAAGGTCGCGATTGTTCTTTGCATTTGGTCGGCATGCAAACTCTCCTTCAATCGTCTCTCGATTGCAGATTGTAAGTGTATTTCGAAGGTAGAAAATCGTCTGTTTCCAGTGCGTGTAACGAGCAAAGGGGGCCGTTGAAAAACCGATGGGCTTGTGCAATTGCGTGAAAGCGCACTCAAAATAAGTAACCAGTCCGTGAATGTAATCGTTTCGATGAGCCTTGAGCTTGAATGGGTTTTTAAATGCAAGGTCTTCTTTGGTACAAGTGAGGATGTCCAAAGTCAGCACGGGGACAGCGTCAGTAACCAGTGCTTTTGCGTCCACCACATCCACGACCGGTTCTTTGATGGCAATATCCTTGAGCGGAGTCATGTCAAATCCGTACACATTGTCCCAAAAGTCTATTCTTTCCTTTTTGACCTGGCCATCTTCAATGGCGGCAATGTATAACACTGATTTGTCAGGAAATACAATCCCATTGGGGACCAACCACTTGTCCCTGGCAAAGAGCACGCTGTCAAGCATCGACTCATACAATAAACAGTACCCAATCCACTCACTTAAAAGGACATCAATCTGCGCAACTGGAAGTTTAATTTCCTCGATTTTCCCTTCGATCAAGGTGATCTTATCCTCAAAGTTGTTCAGTTTGACAATGGTTCTTGCCTGGTGAATTATCGAGGAGCAATCTACCGCGTACACGTGCTTGGCTCCAGCCTGAGCGGCAAACATGGAGAGGACGCCCGTGCCGCATCCAACGTCCAGTACAATCTTATCTTTGAAGATCTGGGGATTCTGCAAGATAGCCATCTGATACGTCTTTGTCCGCACTTCATCCTTTAGCATTTCTTCGTGTATCGAATGATGAGCGTACGAGTCGAAATAGTAGTCCTTGCTAGTTCGGTTGTCAGTTGCCTCCTTCACGTCATCCGTCTTCGCTGCTGGCGTTGATGAAGACGTTGTAGACTCCTCTTTTGGTTGTTGCGATTCTTCCTCCTTGTGAGATCCACTTGCTGTGTCGCCGTCAACAGAGACCTCCTGAAGCTGCTCCTCGGATCCGTCAAGGACTTTTTTGGCGGCTTCAACTCCGTTCTCCTCAGTGTCAGTCTCACACTTCAGTGCCTTGCTAGACGGGTCGTCCACTATTTCCCGAGGTCGCTTCTGCCCTCCGTCATTGCTGCTGATAGCTTCTTCCCCGTTCATCGTGCCTTTGTCCCTCTTCTCCTAGCTTGCTCTTCTGGAAAGTGGCCACTGTACTACGACGACGGCGGCGGCAGCGACGATTATTTTCATGCTCAGCCAATGCTCTCAATTTTACCCTAACCCTAATGTAGTTGTTTTTGAAAAGAAGCAGTCGGCGTAGTCATCCAACCAACCAGCCAGGTCTGGTAGTCTAGGTACGGTTCTATGGCTCCTTTTTCCACACAATGTCAGGCTTGCCGAAGACTGCCCCCCAAGAAAAGAGGATGGACAACCCGAGAGTTGCCGGTCCTTGCCTTTCCCCGCAGGAGCCCTTGAATCACAAGCCTGGCATCACCGGGTGCCCTTGAAAAAGAACAAGCAGCCGGAGGCTGATGCCCTCAACTGTCAAAAAGAGATTTGATTGGATTCCCCAATCGAATCCTTAACATCTTTGGTCAAATCCTTTACCGTGTTCAACTGGACACACTAGCAAGTCTCCATAGCCAGCCAGTAAGGGTCCAAAGTACTACAGTACCAAATAGTAGCCAATCGGAATGGGCGTTGCATAATCTCAGGCGCTTCTTAGTCTCAACCCACAGTCTTTGGGTCTTCCAAAAAGCCAAGAGAAACGTCACAACCCACACATAACACACAAGGACGATACTTCACCCGCTTGTAGCATGCCTGACAGATACGGTGAATCAGTCACTCTGTTCAGAGTCAGATTCTGATTGCTCAGATCCAGTGTCCGATGTTTCGCTGGCCCTGGGAGATGATTCACTGCTTCCGGTGCTGCTGGTGGATTCGGTTTTCTCGATGTTTACAAGTTTTTCGGGAGCCTTTGGTAGGCTTGCTTTCTTTCCTTTGTTGTATGACTTCCTGTAGAAATGCATGAACATGACGAACAAGCTCGTCATTTCAAAGACCTGAGTACCCAGGCCAACCACATGCCTCCAGGTGCTTTCTTCCGGTAGAGAACAGAAGCTCACAACTGAATATATGACTACCGTTGTGAACTGAGTAAGTTGTGCCATTGTCAGGTACTTTTTCCAGGGGCAGGAGACCCTCAACAGACTAAGAGTGTAGTATGAGTACATCATGACATGTATTAGCGAGTTCAAGAGAGCTCCAAAGTAGCAGTCTCCATGGGGCCATAACCAAACTCCAATCCACCAGGCCCAAGATATTGTGAAGTGATGGTACACATGGAGAAAAGAGACCTGCAAATATCCATCCAAACAGAAAGAAAACAGGTTGAGAACACCAACCATCCACAACTGAGAACACCAACGGTTCCAGGGTCCAGCTACCACCAACGTACCTGATCCATTTTGCCCCTCAACACCATGAAGTAAGTGTCAATGAACTCCAGGTACTTATCACAATAGTGCACCCAGACAGCGTAGCTTGCTCCTGCTTCGAGAGGAGCGGTTATACTGCCCACAAAGGGGTGACCACGGAAAAGAACTGCATCTACCATTTTATAGACCATCCAGGCGTTCAGCGCAACCTGGGCAGCGTTGTAAAGAATCATGGATTCCTTCAAAAGAAGTTTCATATCCACAATGGCAAACCTATCCACCATTTCTCTCATCAGGGGGAGGCTCACGAGGTAGAACACAGTAAAGCCAAGAGGAACTTTGTAATCATGAAGGTCTTCTCCAACTTGTAGTTCTGCTTCGTTCACAAATGTGTATTTGCCCCATATTGCGAAGATTCCCATTAGAATGGATGCACACGTGTATCTCGCCAACAGCGAAGGTTCAGGCAGCTCTGGCTTGGGAGAGGATTCTGTTCGAAGGTTCGCCATGGTCTTTCTCGAGGTATCCACGGGCGCTTCTTTCATAAGCGTACTGTTGCACATGATTCTTGCGCTTCTTCGGTTCTATAATATGATCCTTTGTTGTTATATTCTGCTGCTGTGCCGACAACTCTTCTGCATGACCTTTCGAAGATGGCTTTATCGCACCAGTTTCGTTCCAACTAAAAGTAAGTGCTTGGAAGCAGGAGGACGATTGAGTTGGGTGGCGTTTTGCATCGGAAGACGTGGTTTCCCCAGTTAGGGCGAACAGAACCCTTATTGGCTACATGTTCACCATGTACGATGTATGCAACCTGGTGCTGGTACAGGCGTAGTACGCACTCTACTGGGAAACACCACAGCGGAGCAAGAAAAGATCCAGATTCCTATTTTGGAAGCAGATATTTTGAGCCACGAAGGATAGATACCACATAATACTTCCACACAATTCTCAAATGAAAGAATCTGGAATCTCATTTGGAAACATGATTTGCAACTCGAATGTGTTGACGTAGGCTTTGGCCAGATAATGATCATCATCGCCACCAACGCAGCAGCCCTTGGAAAAGCCAGCAGGCTGGTCCGGTCCAGGGTGGCGTCCAGGAGGACTGTACCGGTACAAAGACTTGTCTGATAAGTGTCGCCCATGGGCCAAAACAGACAAGGGAAACTGCGGTATGCCGGAGCTATCCCAGCAGTCGGCCTACACAAGGAGAGAAGAGTGCGGGTACAAGTTCAGCCAAGTGTGTTGCTTCTAGCTTGCCCGTCGGTCTTGCAGTTGGCCCTTCATTTCTTCTTTTGAGCGATGAGCGAGATCTTGGTGGATTGACCAGTGCCACTGCTGAACTTGGTTTCATCGAAAGCTTCCCAAGTATATTGGTTTCATTCTTGAGGGTCTAGATTCAGCAGTTGGTAGCACTGTAGCCGCTTGCATGCAGTGATGAGAGTTCTTGTAAGCCGATCATAAGCAACAGGGGCAAATACATGGCTGGGTTTTAATACTAAGCAAGGAGCTTTGGCACTTGCTTGTATGCCATCCTCGGACATTTCCAAGCGGCTGGTAAGTAGAGAGTTACCATACCAAGTAGAGAGTGACCTTAGCAGAACATGATATTCGTACCGGTACTACCGTACGGTACCAGTACTGTAGCTACCGGTAGCTATGCATACTACTTGTAGTGGAACCAGATACTGCAGTCAAGAACAGGTGCGGCAGCAGGCAACCGCATCTCAACGCTGAGGCGCAAATTAATTAACCTCCTCGTAATTGATACTAGTACTACTAGCAGAACCTTTAGTTTGCAGTACCTTTACTTTGCAGTGTATGTAGAAGAGTTTACTGTAAAGTGTTTGTGATCTATCTTGTGCAAGACCTTTACTGGTAACAACTTGCAACGGGACAACGGGACCATAGCTTTTTGTTTGTTGTTTAGCACTAACCCTACGGTATGATTGATGCCACTCCCATCCCACTCACTCACTCACCCTCAATCAGAGATCAGCGCTTGTCCTGGCGTCCTGGTCGTTGAAGGCATCCATCAACCATATCATCCGTTGCTTTCTTTGCTCATCTTGCAATACTATCTGATGCCAAGTCAAGGAACCATGAGCTCTGCACAACAATCAGCAACCAGATATCGGAGAATTCGACCTCTGGGAGTCTCGCTTCCATTGGTGGTGTCTATCTGTCTTTCCGCTACTTTGACTCGAGGTGCCCACTCATTTCTGATACCTCAACTTTCTTTCCAACCAAGACGACAACACTTGTCTTCCGTCAGAGTTCACTCATCGTCAGCTCTTCATGTTGCGAAATCTGGTGGCAGAATGATTGAGTCTGACGAAGAATTTTCGGAAGTGGTCCTGGCTGCTGACTCTCCGCGACCAGTCCTCGCTTTCTTCTCGGCTGCATGGTAGGGTGCTCATGGCGACAACTGAAGGATTGGAGCAATCGGATGGCTCCAATTACCATGCAGACAATACTTCTGGTCTCACCCTTGAGGATCGCTTCTGTGCTTTGCCTAGGTGTGGGCCTTGCCGGCTATCCGTTCCCGTTGTCAAGGTAAGAAAAGTTATGGAAGAGGTACCGTGTGGGGGCAGAGGATACTCGTTCCAATCTCCGTTGTCATATTTACCCACATTCTAATATTTCTTGGAACAGGAAATACTGAAGCAGTTCACTGGCAAAATTGATGTGGTAGAAATCTGCACAGACGATTTGGCAGAAACCTCAGCCGAGTGTGGAGTTGTCAGTATCCCAACAATTCAATTCTACTATCGAGGCGAACTGTTGGACACAATTGTTGGTTGTGTGGCTCGAAACGTCTTGTCGACTGCAGTGTCAAAGATCCTCGAAGATGTTTCTGCCGATGAAAGCAGCACCAGCCCGAGGCAGTCCTAGCTAGCAATGGTATTGCTCTCTCGTTTGGTTCGCCGTTCAAGCGTTGCGAGTGGTATTTGTGACGGTAAGCGAAATCACCACCATTTGCAACACATTCAATACTCTCCCGTGCTAGGAATAATGAAATGGCAGAAGGCGATACTAGTTGCTAGCAAGTACCGTACACCTACCGTAATAATCATTGCGCAACACATCCCGCACGGAAAAATGACTTAATCGTGGGCCTTCGCCCTCTTATGGTAGGTCGGGCGGCACTGTACTGTGCACAACGACGATGGGGGTGCACGAATAGTCATCTAGCTACGGTAGTGGTGTGTCTAGCCAGCTACCTAACAAGATACAATAACGTGAATTCTAGGAATCAAAGAGTATTGCTAGTTGTTCATAGACGTCTCGTAGATATCAGTATGAACTTTCCAGCTGGATGTACACTCACTCTCGGATGTTGCGCCATGCTTGTGGGAAATCTCCATCTCGCAAGCTAATGTAGTGGCGGAAACCACCGGTGTTGTGGATATCACCTTGGTAGGGTTGGTCAACAAAAGTTATCGATCCATGCGGCACATTCTCCACTTGGACTATGTCATCATCAGAGATCTTTGCCAACACAGTGTAGTTGTACAAGTCTCCATCAGTCAGCTTGTCCGTGCGGGAGATGACATCACACACGTACATGTCGGCTCCAGTGATCTCATCATGCGAGAGGTCCTCTGCGTAGAGAAAGATTTCCAAACCATCCGGGTTGCGCCGGGGCCTTCCATCTGGGAGGTCTTCAGTTCGGAGGAAGCAGGTTGTAGCGACAGATGGTGGGTACGGGTTGATCCCATCAGTCAAATCAGCTTCAAAGGGTTTTTCTTTGTATTGCATTTTCATGTCGTCCGCCGTGAGCTGCCAAGTCTTGTCCTGCTCATAATCTTTGTTCCACTGTGCCATGTGCTCCTTCCAAGCTGCTTCCCACTACACAATTCGCCGGTGAAAGAGAGAGAGAAAGAGAGAAGGGGTGAATAAAGAGAGGGCTGCTGCTTCGAAAGCTGAAAGCGGCGGTATCAAACCTACCTCTTTGCCGTAGTCAATGAAAATCTCCTCTCCCACTTCAATGTCCCTTAGTGCTTGAACTACCATGACGATTCCAACCTTGTTACGCTCAGCAAGTTGCTCAATCGACAAGTCGTGTAGACCATGATCATTGGTGACATGCTTGTGTCGGCTCCAAGTGATGTAAGCGTTGGCTTTGCCGGCTGGAGCATGGTTGATCATGCTCACATATGACCCAATGGGGAGAAGTAAGATGTTCGATTCTCGATGACCGAAACAGTAGTTGATCAGTAGCTGCTGTTGCAAGAAGTTGGATTTGTCAATGTCCAATGTTACATCGCCGGTTTTGGCGTCTTCCTTCTCAATAATCTCATACATATTGAACAATTCCTCATTGGCAATATGCACCATGGGAGACGGGACAACCACATCTCCTTTGGCAATCTTACGAGTGGTGAAGGCTCCACGGCCAGCTTCTGGAATAGTAGAGGGTCCAACCTTTAGATTGTCCATGCACATGGCATGTTTCTTCAACCATTTTTGGGACTTGACGAGATCATTGTTTCGGTATAGGAACGTGCCACCTGCTTCCTTGACGGCTTTGAGTTTCTTGGGATTATCAGGGATCAGGGAACGAATGACTTTGGCGCGTTTTCCCACAGCAGTTCCCAGGATTTTTTCCAGCATGAAATCAAGAATGTTCTCTTGCAGATCAGGCGTCAAGTCTTTGTCATACTGGTCCATAAAGGCAATGATGGCATCCAAGATCTGATCAGCATGTTGGTAGTCCCATCGGGTCAGTTTGTCCTGGAAACTATCTTCCATTGTCTGGTTGTTATCCCATGTTTCTCCAAAATTAGCGAAAAGTTCCATTCCTGCCGGGATATGTTCTGTAGCTTTCATGGTCAAGTTGTGGTAAGGGGTAATGGCTCCACGTGCAGGATGGGCAACCCCTGATTCGAATAAGTCCAGAGGCTTTCGTAGCAATGCCGCTGACTGGAGCCAATCCACGTTGTGGTATCCAGAGTGATAATTGGCTAGATTTCCAATTCCAGGAATGGCCACGATCGTATTTTGATCTCCTTCCCACTTGGCCCCGGCGAAATCACCAGTCCATACTTGCGATTCGACAAATTCCACAATCATATTCTTCAATGCTGTGTCTCGGTTGAATTGCTCGGTCCAATCCACCAAAGGAATTGCCACTTCGATATCAGGAATGATTTCATCAGGAGCAAAGTCAACGCCCGCAAAGATACCAAATTCTGGATCATTGTCCGTCCCCAGATGGGATGGACCAAGCCACAAACGGCATTCTCCGTCTCCATCTCCCTTGACAACCGAGGAAGTGCATGCCGCGATGAAGATCGCAAAGGAAAGAGATCGAGCCAACAGCATTTTCTTTCAATCAAACAACTATGATACCGTGTCCAGCCAATACTTCAGATGCCTTTGCCACAACCGACTTGATCAGAATTGATTGGGTCGATATTATGTTACATCAGTGCACTGTTGCACGTGGGAGGATTGCTTTTGACTAATGGGATTTCGTGGAAGGGCTTGAAACGCTCGGTCCGAAACCAACGGTCAAATCTAATCCCGCGACCTTACAAAAGGCGACTGAATTGTGAAGCGCAGCTCCAGGTACTAGATCTAGCTAGCTAGTAAAATCTCCAAACTTTTTGTGCTCCTTCTTCCGCTTTTGTGCCTCAAAGCTAGCTAGCTAGCTGCTAGTTGCTAGCTAGTAGGTGATACCTGGTACCCGTACCGGAGCGTCTTCACTCCTTCAGAGTCCCGGACACTCAGTGACTAGCTAGCTGGGTGTTGTACCTTGTTCCTGCTGACCCCGACGGACAGCAAAGGGTGTATGCTTCCTGGCCTTGGTGGATGGACCGGTACGGTGGTGGCCGAATGCTGGCTGGACCCATCGAAAGATACTGTGAACTAATTGGGTACAAGTCTTGTGGCGCTTGCTTTGCCGTAGCACCCAAGATGAAAAATGGGTTTGTGCCTAGCTAGCGAGCAGAACTCGGACGTCATTGCAGGAAGTTGCAAGCTAGGTGGTCATTCTGAGGCCCAAAATGTCTTGAAAAGGGGTTAGGTAATACTGCATGGATTCATCTATCAATGCTATGTTTTAGTAGCCTTCTGTCGAACATGGGGGCGTCAGACGACGTTCCGATGAGGTTCTTGCAGTGGCACATCACCATCACAGTCCTGGTCACTTGCGGACGGAACAGTCAAGGCTTCTTCTCCCTCCACGGTGGGCAATGGTGCATGGACGTTGTTTGCACTATCCGTTGGTTCCTCGCCATACAGCATGGCATCCACAGTCCGAATTGCTTTTGGTCCTTCCCACAACGATCCAAGTTCATTTCTTCTCCAAGCCATGAAAGTAAACGTTCCCAGACAGCATGGTACTAAATACAGTAGTGCGGGCTGGCCCATATTCATCAAGTAGACGGCCATGTTGGCCATCAAGAGGCCAACTGCATAGGCGACAACTTGGGGGGCAAAGTAGCCTCCGCTGCACATACTACAGCCGCTGCCACCATGTCTCTGCTCCGGGCAGCCATACGAGTTGACGGCGCTGTTTCCTCCTCCCAAGAGACCCAGCAGCGACTTCGCTGCATCTAAACGAGCAGCAAGACTAACCACGAGGCCGGGCACTGCATTCGTTGGTATACCAGTACAACGCAAGAGCAATGGTTGAGATCGCTCAACGATATTCAAACTCCATGCTCGCAAAGGGAACTGCACTTACACACAATATCTCCGAGCCCCAATAGGCTACTTCCACCCTGGTAATCACCAATACGAGGAATCTGGAACAGCATTGGGAGCGGTTCTCCTCCCTGACAGTTAGGGTCATCTGGGTACTTTTCGCACCAGGCCGGATCTGCAGTTGGTGGTCCGCCGGATGTAGCCACGGTAATCATGACAGACTTTCCAAAGAAGAGAGGTGAGATGAAGACCATGAAGATATCGTAGAAAAAGGCCATGATCAGGAGAGATGCCGCGACCTTGAGACTGTTGAGCTTGATCACTGCGAGGAAAGAGATGCACATGGCAGCCCCGAAAATGTCCTGTACAACCCAAAAAAATGTAATGTCCTCGGGGTGACGGATCGTGAAGCACATCACAAGCCACACAAATCCCAGAGTAAATCCACACACATGCGAAACGATGTCGAGTATGGTAATATCACCAAAGTCTTCTGTGCCTGTTCGCCAGACAATTCTATCTCGAAAATTCATCCGTCGTCCGATCCTCCAGCAGATTGGAAAGAATATGATCTGACTGACAGCTTTGCTGCATCCAATGGCATAGAATACCTTGACCACGCGGTAGATTTTGAAAAAGAACAGGATCAGCAACCCTGACGAAGCCATGACTACGAAAACCAATGCGTGCCAGACAGTCAACTCCAAAGTTTCTTCGACGTTCACAGGAGGCGCTGAAGCATGGTTATTCCTCGAGTGAGTTTGCGACTTGTCATTGTTGCCTTGGGCCGCCTCTGACCTTCGCTTTTGACGGCGAATAATCTTGCGTATCATGCGATGGTATTCATCCGCCGACATGAATGCAGCCAGCCCCGTGACGAAAACTCCCAATGCCCAAATGAGTATAGCGGAGATGTTGTATTTTGGACGTGGCCTCGAGTAGATTGTCACGAACACTTGGTCATCTTTTTGGTAGTCCGCAAGCAACCTGCTTGCTTCTTGCATAGAAATGTAGGTAGCTGGAATGGCAACATTGGCGGCCGTAAAGGCAGGGTCTTCGTACAACCAAACGTGTAAATCCCAAGCGCAGCAAGCTCGCATTTGGTCTCCATCCTTTTCGCCCGTAAGAAGACATGCTTTCGAGTCACAATTTTGCAGGTCATCGGCCGAATTAGCCTTACAAAGGTTGGAACTGCTGTCACCCGACAAGACGGGGTCATTGTTGGCTGACACGTAGGGTGGCGGGTCAATTTGAATGGCAGAGGCCGGCACTAGTGCGGATCCTTTATTGCAATCATAGTCATAGAATTCCCTGGGCCACACAATATCCTCTTCAGTATACTTGTAGTTCGTTTGATTGATATGACTTGTGGCATTGAGAGAGTACCGGGCACCCAAATTGCCATAGACAATCATACCGAGAGCACCCAGTTTCTGCGCATTCCATGCTTTGGTTTCAAAGGAACAAGCACCCCGTTTGACCAGAATAGTTGACTGTGACCACTTTGTCTCTTCAGTTGTGATCGTCGTCACATTTTCACACAGAAGCTGATTATTGGAAGGAGCCAGCATCAATTGGTGTGCTTCATTGTTCCAGGTACCTTCGGCCGGATAAACCCCAAAGGAAGCTTGCGACGAAAGTAAGGTGTATGAAGAACCATCACGCAATTTGACATCTACGGAACCAGTTTGCAAAATTCCAGATACAGATCTAGTGGACACGAGAAGTAGAAGCCCCCCCAAAGTCCATCCACAGGTGTTCAGCCGCGAAAAGGGCAGCATTATCTTGTTGATGTACTAGTAGCTCCTGATCATCAATGACGGTTGCTGGTTGATTTTTGCTTGTTGGAGGTGCCGCAAGCCGACGGAACTGGTCGTGCATTGGGCAACTTGCTTGCAAAGGGCGTACTACGGTAGAGTTAGGGCTTGGATTTCCATTGGTGTGGCGAGGTTGAGTAAGTCACAGAACTGTCATCCTGGACAAGCCAGAATGTCATTGTCTTTGGCAACTAACTTCTGGCCTCTCTGCGACGGGAGCATTCCAAAGCTTTGGAAAATGCATTGTTGGTGCTTACCGGCGCCGCAGCTAGGCATTCAAATTGAGGCTGATTCGATTCAATCATTCTACCGGTACAGCCGTACTCTCTTAGTCTACCAAAGCAAAAGTTCACGGCCGTGTTAGGTACTACCTTGACAATCCAACCATGGGACAACATTTCCGTATGACACTTAAGTACTATGGAAGTTTGCAGTCTCTTAAAGTTCGACATGTGATAACCAGTCATCAGCCGCAATGTAGCTACTACCGTAGCTACCGGTAGGCAAGAACAGCTGAACCCAAGGCGAAAAGTTAGCAGGCATTATTAGATAAAATGGCAACGCGGGAAACCTAGAGATTGTAGACCTCAAAGCGAGTGAGTCGGTTCCTCAGAATGCACATTATACGAGCGATGTCACTCCCGGCCCGCAGCAACTATCTTTCAATCAACTCGAGTATGATATGAGCGAAGACTGCCGTTTTGAAGGGTTTTGACGTGGCTGCAAACCTTGCCTGCCTACGTTACTTCTTCATTCATACGCAAATGCCAATCGTTCTTACTACCCGTTTACAACTTGTCCCGACATCGCGTGTCGATATCGTGTTGGTGGCCTTCGTGAACCTCGAAAGCAGCCACGAAACGGATACATCCGCACGAATAGAGTTGCTTGTTTGGTTTCAAGACGAGCGACGACAACTGCATTCCTACAACTTCAATAGGTAACGGCATTCGCGGCGGTGGCAAAGGGAGTGACGTTCGCTCGGCAGATTATGCATTGTTCTGAAAATGTTTCGCAGGATGCCTCGGAACCGGTGGCTCTGGCTGCACTGCTGGTATTTAAAATAGCTAGCCAGCTAGTTACCGGTTGTAGTCAGAGATGGTGTTGGTGCCGGAAGGAAGACAGACATTTGTGCTTTGGGCTATCTTGCTTTCCCAATGCCAAACTCCCTTGCCAACATCCATTTAGATGGTACCATCGTGCCAGTAGGACTGCTGCGCACAAAACGATCCGTTGGAGCACATCTCCAAATCTTTGTGCTACACGACCAAGAGTGTCATTGTCAGAGCGCACCTCTCACCAATTGGTCATGAAGGTTGTTCCATGTGATGGAGCCGCACTGTTCCGTTGGTGTGGGATGACCGTGCAAAGCAACTATGCGCAAACGTTGAACGCTTTCAGCTGCAACGCTCGAACATCCTTCACTCAGGTTTGTTGGCATCGACATCACAAAATCCCTTCCGGTGTTTGGTGCAATCCTCTCTTGTTGGCTTGCTGATCAAATCACACCTTCGACAAGCACGCAGCAATTTCTTGATCAATCCTCCTTTCTAGGAAGCAAGTGGCATTGCCCACAATGACAGGTATGTGGATAGCTGTGCTTTCGAGCTGTAAAAGAGCTCCGGTATAGCGCCGTGAGCTTTTTCGTCCGGATCTGCCCGTTGCTTCGTGGCACACATCCGGGTTACCTTTGATACTTTCCGTTCAACGCCAGCACGAGGCGTCGGCAGTCAGGCGTGACTTCTTTCTTTGCATCAAAACATTACCAAAAGAAACCAAGGGCAGCGAAAGACCTCATCAATAAAAGCTCTTGAACAAGCAAGCACTGTCGGTGGCAGCCATCATACAACAAAGCTCGCTATTGCCAGTCGTTGCGTGGCGTGTTGTACATGCATTAACCTTTGCTATTCTCTATCTTTTCCACGATACCGTTCACAGCTGATACGGTACAGGTGTTTCAACCCCCTCACTTACAGGAGAAGCGACAATACGGCGGGGCTTTGGACACGACGACCAAGAGCATTCGACGACGCAGCCGTATTTATCCCGAGGGCGGTTCTGGTATGGCTTCCAGAAAAGGTGGCACTGCAGTAGCAAATGGGAAAGGGACTAGCAATAGCAACAGCAAAGTCAACAATGAAGAGGGACGCGGCAGTCGTCGACGAAAGTCGGGCAAGAACAAAGGGTTGAAAATTGATACCAAGACACTCAACCAGGGCGAATTGCCCAGCACTCCTCTTACTGTAGCATCGACCCCCGATGCTTCCACTCCTGCTGGAAGGAGAGGGTCTAAGGACTTACGGTCTCCAGGACAGAAGAAAACTCCCAATGGACCCAAAGTGGCGTCTCCTAATGACCCTATTCCAGACCTCATCACGCAAACAGATAGGTACGGAAACGCAGCAACTCCTCGGTCCAAGGATGCTATTGACAATGCGAGAGTCCATCATCCCTCTGGACCGATTCCGGCCCTGCATGTAGATTCCAACGGCCAGTTGACGGATGATCTCGCTAAGGAGGAAGACGACAACGATCCCTGCGAAACTTTGCTCGACAGCCTTCGCATCATGTGTTGCTGCCTTCTACCGGATGACGTGCCTTGCACAACAAACGACAAGAGCGATTCACAGAGTGACCTAAGTCCGGAAACAAACCCAGAAGCAGCAGCTCAGGATCAAATCGAGCGTGTCAAATTGCTACCAAAACATCACCCTGATGATGTCGGAAAGAAATGTTTGGTCTTGGACCTTGACGAAACATTGGTACACTCCAGCTTTAGGGCTGTGCCTGGAGCGGACTTTGTCATTCCTGTTCAGGTACGTTCAGTCAAGCAGCAGCAACCAACAACAACAATTGATCCTTCGCGGCCACGAACTAACCCTGTCTTTTTCATTTCAGATCGAGGATGTCGTTCACTTTGTCTATGTTGCAAAGAGACCCGGAGTCGATGAATTCCTCATTGAAATGGCGAAACACTACGAAATCGTCATCTATACCGCCAGCCTCAACAAGTATGCTGACCCTCTGCTCGACTTGTTGGACCCCAACCGAGTCATTCGCTGCCGTCTCTTCCGAGAGTCATGCGTGTACTACGAAGGGAACTACGTCAAGGACCTCAGCCTCCTAGACCGGGATTTGACACAAGCCATCATCGTGGACAACTCACCTAGCTCGTACATATTCCACCCGGAGAATGCTATTGATTGTTCTTCCTTCATTGATGATCCAAAGGACAGGGAGCTCGATCAAATCGGGGCTTTCCTAAAGGGAATAAAGGACATCAATGATGTTCGTCATACATGCCAACATTGGAGAGAATGGCCCAATGTGGACATCGAAGGAATGAACAGATGATTAAACAGTTGATTTTATTGTGGAACACGAAGAGTTAAAAAAGAGGTTCGTCTTATAATGCATAATGGCAGCTACTACTGGTACCATACTCCATCGTTCAGCTGCTTTGTATGACGTAGAGGAAAGGGCATTGACATCCCAGCCAATATTCAGAAGGAAAGGAAACATGATACTAACGTAGCTATCCTGAAGCTGGAAGCAACTCCAGGGGGTACCGTACCAACGGCTGAGCCCAACTGACAGTTCGAAATTCAAAAGTAGGCTTGTGTTCGTCGCGGTGCGCATTCCAGACCGAAGAAGATTGTGCGTGGTAGTGGAAGCCACATGATCCCGCAACTGCGGAACTGACCCCACGTGGCCGTATCACAGAAATTATTGTCCTCCTGAGATGAAGGAACCAGCATTTTGCATGCTCTCTACATACTAGTACCTTTACGTCTATCGGTGCCGTAGCAACTCTGTATTTCGGACACATCCTATGGGTAGAACGCTGCTGTAGCTAGGCACCTACATGTACTACAGGAACATGAACAAAAGATCCTACGAGAGCGATGAATGGACGGCCCCAACAACCAATAGAATCGAATCCATGACTTCCTGCAATGGCTATTGGACCTACTATTGCTTCTCCAATTGGTCGAGCTAGACATTCTTGACACCGCCACCTTTCATACGACGGGACTTCTTCCCACCAGAGTTCATGAAAAAAACACACCATAGAGCCAGTCCCATGAACCAGAGGGTAAGCATAGTTGATGCAGGTGGGAACGGATACTTCTCAGTTGTTGGTGTCATGCCCTGCTTTCCAAGACCGGCAAGAGCTTCTTGCTCGCTGAAATCGAGTTCGAGCGGAGGAGCAATAGCTTGATCTACCTGCTCGTAGTACTGCAGGTTCGTTCTCATGGGAAACTCGGGCTGTGTATCCAGATCATTCGGGTTGTCATACAGATTGTCGGTTGGAGAGATATCGGCGTTATAAGGGACGAACTTCAAGTTGGCGCATTGCAAGTTCTGCCAAATAGTGTTTTGGAACCACAACAAAAGTAAGTCCGCCGATGCTACAGTACCACAAGTGGCGACATGGTATAAACACAAGAACCTACCAAACTATTCCCTGTTCCGGCCGCCAAATTGATTCCCACGTAATCGTTGAATTGGTCCAAGGTTCGCCTCTTTCCAACACCGTAGATACCCATATTAGCCTTAGCAGTGTCGCTGGTATCACCATCCTTCAATCCTAGTGAAGTCTTAATCCTGAGCAGAGAACGACTACGAATGCGTTCCCTACGCTGGCGGTACCATTCGTTCATTCCATGGCCATCTGGGTTGGGCTGATAGCTGTGGAAGACGAGACTGCGGGTTGGAGTGTATACATCGTAACTGGGAAGACAAACCACCAGGGTGACACAGACAAATGCCAGTGAGTTCATAGCTCTTGGGAATAGGTTAACAATACGTCCTCAATTCCTTACCCTCTGGTCCACATCCTAATAGGAGAACAAAATTCAAGGCACTGTTGTCAGAAGAGCCGAACTGCAAGTCAAAAAGAAAGACGATTGAGAACGTTGCGCTGCTCACCTTGCATAGCGAGGAAATTGCTCCCCACCCATAATGTATGGTGCAAAGGGATCATAAGGGGCACTTTCTTCCAAGTGGCATTTGGCAAAGCTGAAACCAGCCGACCATGTGTTTCCCAACAGTGGAGTCGTAAGGTCTGCTGCCTTTCCATCTCCTGGCGCCAAGTAGTTCTGTCAATTCGAACATGCAGCAAAGTAAGGAAAATATATAAATAAAATGACCATGACCAAGAGAACAAGCAAGTACATCCAATACATCCCAACACACGTACAGGAACACCATTATCTTGGAACTTGGTAAGGCACTGTCTGGGAACTTCCATCTGCTGCGCCCCGCCATCTTCATGCTCGACTTGCTCTCCCTGTTTGGCCGGTACGTGACTAATGACGGCGAATTCATTGTTTGTCGTTTTCCAATCTTCCTTTGCCAACTTGTCCCAGTCTTTTCGAAAGGACGAGTGGGAGTCCACTTGCATGCAGAATTCCTCGTTTCCTAGGATTTTTCGGGTCATGGCTCTGGCATAGAGAGGTCCCTTGGCAGACCTGTTGTGAAATGCAAGCTGTCGGATCTGGTTGAATCGAGGACATTGCAACCGTTCAGGTTCGGCAATAAGTTTTGTGACATCCTTGCGAATGGTTTGTCGCTTATAGTGTTTTGCGATTCCTTTTCTGGCACAGTAAACTTCCAAGCAAAACTGGTCTTCTGGTGCATTCTGTTCAATAATTCCCACAATGATATTGTCGGGATCAGCGGCATTATCGAATAAAGATTCGAGGGTATCAGCACATCGTTTTCCATCTATTGGTTGGGTTTAAGTTTAGAATTAATTCATGCAGAGATAACAGGGAGGAATTAGCAATATCCTAAGGCACAATCTCCGTGCCAACAAACCAAGCCCACCCCACATAAACCTACCTCTAAAGGAGGGAATGACAACAAAGATCTTCCCATCCCCGTCTTCCGAGGGAGCAGGCGGCTTTCCATCACTGTTGGCATCTACGGTGATATCCACCCAGTTCTTTCCGTCATGAACTCGTGGTCCCATGGTGGCAAACGACTCTTCAACAACCAACACAAGCTCTTCCAGCTTCGTCTTTGGCTTGGTGCTTGTTGTGCTGTGTTCTGCGTGCTGTGGATCTTGGTCTTGGGTTGAGAAAATTGCCGCAACGGTCATCATCGGCGGCACAACGAAGACGAGGAACAGTCATACTCAAGGATCCACTGTTAAGATTAAGGATAATGTGGAGGTGAAGGCACGCTGCCGAATTTCAACCGAATTTTCCAATCTGCTTTGCCTCGGATCCACCGAAATCATTCTTCATTCTCTCTCATCAAGCAAGAGCTCAAAGGCCAACAGATAGATACAGTAGATCCAATTGAGATAGGCAGTGTTTACACCATTGCACCGAGACTACTTGCCAGCTAGCTAGAACATTCGAAGAAATAGCTAATTGTGTCGAACAGTCACGCTTTATCTGGATCTGCTATCATTTTCAAGACCCACAAACGTCTGAGCCAAGTTTGGGCCCTGCATGAGAGACGAGAGCACGCTAACAAACACAAGCACACATCAAATACATACATCAAATAGCAATCCGATTGGAGCGTCATCAGAGACAATCAAGCAAAGCTCACGACCGGTAATAATAAGATAACAACAACCCACAACGCGACTACCAAAAGAACATAAAAGATATTATTTGGATACCAAACTAAATAAATCATGTCCAAGCGCCCAGGAGGATTCAATGCGCTGCTGGCCAAAAAGGCAAAGACAGATCAACGGACTGCCGCAGACGGCTCACACGGCCACAATCCCAACAGAAATCGGTACTTGGCAACTCCAGTCCAGCCTCAGAATGCTCTATCTAAATTCTTGATGCAAGCCAGAGCGGCTGCTCGGCGCTTTTTGCCCAAGGAAACCAAGTACCCCGTCACAACTCCCTTTTGTGAAGTCGAAGCTAGATTGGGAGTTCTTAAACTTCCTTTTGGAGCTGCCGATCGTAGAGTGACCAGTTCTGGACCAAAGCAACACAATGGACACGTTGTCGAAACATTCCATGTGCATCAACAACCAAACCCTGTCATGGAGTCAGGGCTGAGCCGAACGCATTTCCAAACATGGACCCAAGGAGGCTTGGTAAGTTTTTCACGAGGCGTCTACCTACCTACCTACCTTTGCATTAGCATGCTTTGTAGCCTTACAATACAGTTGCCGTCTTTTGGTTAGAGTGAAATGGGCCCCATTCCGCTGGCCTTTGGAGTGGACGACCCTCACAAAATCAAGCAAGAGCTGCACGAACATGAATACGTCGAAACTGTCTACACTGGATATTCCAATGACCAACGTATTTGCTACGATGGAATGCATCCTCCACCAGCCGGTGCTCCTCAAAAGCACGGAAAGGCAGAATACAAGGACAAACTCGCAAACATGGATCTCACCATCCCAGCAGCGTCATACGATATGAGAATCAGTCTCGCTGCCGAAAAAGTCCTCGACAATCGGGTACCTCCCACCCCGCCACCCGGATGGACCAGCAAACGAATCAAACGACGTCGCTCCTACACTCGACGAGGAGGTGCCTTTGCTTGGCAGATTGATGTTACCGAAGTCACAACGTCCTACAATTCCAACAGGCATCCAGAAATCAGCTATGAAATCGAAATGGAACTAGTGGCACCTGATATGCTCAAGCTTGTCAATGAACCAGATGAAGCAAGAGCCCAAAAGAGGGCTTCCTCATATGCTCAACAAGCATGGTGGATCTTGCAGAACATCAACCCACTCGCGGACGTCATTGATGCAGAAGAAACTCTGCAAGATCACCCCAATAGACGCGCCGTACAGGTAGCTCTGGCGCAGGTTGGGTACCTGAGAAAGTACATGCACGACGGGGGAAACCCAGCAAAATACAACAGTCCAATCGGAAAGGACCACGAACCGCCACGGCACTTTCAAAAGTTCACAGGTTGCATGCCCGTCAACTTCTCTAGACACAACATTGAGGAAGTGCAGCGGAGTCCAAGCAATGGATACTTTTTGAGCGAAAAGACTGACGGAGTACGGCACTTTATGGTATTTACGGGTGACACGGTTGTGCTTGTTGATAGAGCAATGAAAGGAAAACAACCCATTCCTGTTGGAGACGGAAGGGGAGACCCCATGGGTCACCTGGTTCCACTTATCAAGCCGGGAACAATCTTTGACGGAGAAGTCGTGATGCACAGGGGATATGAGACTGGAAACGGAAAAAGCAAGCCCCGAGCTGTCTTTATTGTGTTCGACGTGCTTGCCAATTCCACAACGGAACCAGTCCTGCAACTCCCGTTCGAACAACGATTCCACCATTTGAAAAACGCAAGCTTTCGAACCCCAAACTGCCCGACAAACATGTTTGATGATAAGTTTGTGTTCAATCCAGCCATCGCGCTTCCGCTTGTGCGAAAGAACTTTGTCAAGCGGACTGCGTTGGATGACTTGTTGCAACACGTAAAGGAAGAAAAGGGGGTTAGGACATACCGCAATGGGAAACTCCACAACCACATGACTGATGGAATCATTTTCCAGCCCAATCTCCCCTACGTTTGCGGCACAGATATGAATCTGCTGAAATGGAAGTACCTTGATACAGTGACAATCGATGTAGAGATCATGCCGCCAAGACACAACGACGCCGATGATGTACTGCGAGTTGCTTGTTTGGGAGACGAGGGGTCTATGGTGGATATGACACGTCACGTCAAGTTGCCACATAGTGAGCTTCGTCGTTTGGAGGCCGACCGTCACGAATCAGGTGGTCGAATTGCAGAGATTGGCTTCCATCCCGAGGTGAGTTCTGCTGTCTGCTCTTCTTGAAAAGTCTAGCTAGTGCCTACCTAGTACCTAGAACCAGTGGTCGTGCTAAACGTTGTTTGATTCATTGATCAGACCGGAGAATGGTACTACCTTACCATGCGCCCCGACAAGATTGCCCCGAACCATATCAGTACGGTTTTGGGCACGGTACTGGAGTTGGCGGAAAGCTTGGGCACGGACGAATTGCGTTTCAGGATGAGTGTACCATCTGGGCAACGCGACACTTACCGCAAAGATATTCGCAAAATGACGAAGCAGCTGTTGGATTTCCAGAGAAAGGCAGCAAAGGGCGGACGATAAGAACAACAGGAATGGAATGGAGAGGGAGGTGTGAACTAGCTGGGGTGTCAGACGTAATGCAGTGGACTCGACTCACTGGCTCTGACCCGTACCGTAAGATTAGTTTCTAGCGTACTAGTACAGCAACGTTTTAGTTTTGGTCCAACGAAGCCTGTCATCTGCTTCAATTGAAATGCTTTCTTTACGTTTCAGAAGCTCGTCGCGTTCTTTGATAGCTTTCTGCTCCTCTTCAAACTTCTTGTGCTTGTCTCGGTAGAGTTCAGAAAAACTGTTTGCCTGGAAACGGGTTAGAACGTTTGAATCTTCAAAACCGGTCTTTGTTCAGCCTTTGACTGGGCTGCGGAGATTTCTTGGTTGAGGACTGACAGTTTCTTGTTGCCCTTGCTGACTTTTTCATAGAGTCCTCTAAGTTCATCCAGTTCTGACTTGACGAGTTCAATGCTCGCATCGCCCACTACCCTGACCATTTTGCAAGCGAGCTGCTCTTGTTTGTCTTCGATACTAGATTCGTGCTCCTCAACATGTGCTGCGTCAGACTTCCAGTTGCCATCTCCTGAAGATCACGAAGATTTCGAGCTATCTCCTCAGCTGCACTTGCCTCTTTGGATGCCTTCTCAAGCTCTCTGCTTCAGCTGCTCTGAGTGCTTGCGAGTTGCTGCATTTTGTTACGGACAGCGGCCAGCTCTTTGGTGGCAGTACGATATTCCAGCAACCCACGATCACACTTCTAGATCGTGGTGCTCCAATTATCATGTTGCCTTTTCTTTTCAAGCCACTCTTGTCGCTCATCGTCATCTTCCACATTGAGGAGAGGCGAACCCTCTTTGCCGAGTGACTTCAACATTTCAACCACTTTTTTCCTTTTCCTTGCCGTCGTTGAACGAACGCGAACAACATGATTTTGCTTTTCGAGCCACTCTTGTCGCTCATCTTCGGTTCCACCTCCGACGATGGGCTAACCCAGATGCAAGATTCCAAGGCAGAGAGTGATCCACATCTTTTGAGTTCAATTTCTGGCGTGGTGGGAGTTGTCGCACAATTGGCGTTGATGCTCTTATTCCCAAGCGGTATTCAAAGCTTTATTTCAAAGTATAAAGCGAGCGAGCGTCTGCGAAGTGTTCGACCCGCTTCTCTCAAGATCCTTTCCAAGGCTCCATTTCGACACAACACAACAGGCAACAGCTCAATTGGTCCATCATATATCTGATGTATTGATTTACACGAGAGTAGTTCTGTCCACCATGAGCTCTGACGATTTGGAAGGTGACGATATCTGGGGCGACTCTGCCGGGGAGACCAAACAAGCCGAGCCCGAAGAGTCTGCCGCCCCTGCAGATGCCGAGGAAAGTGAAGTCTTGGAAGATGACGAGACGCGGCACATGACTGTTGGTGAGCTGCGACAGCGAATTCATTTGTTGAACAATGATATTCGAATCATGAAGTCTGATGTCCAGCGCATCACCCACGAAAGCCGTGGTCAACGTGAACGAATCCGAGAAAACCAGGAAAAAGTCAAGCTGAACAAGCAGCTTCCATATCTTGTGGCCAATGTTGTGGAAGTTTTGGAGCCTGATGCCGAGGATGGTAAGCAAATTGGGTTGCACAATTCTATGATTGATAGACGATTTATTGTACTAAAAGGTTTCTCTCCATGCTCTTGACAGGATTGGAGGAGGAAGAACGAGAGGCAGGAGACGCCACGGATGTGGATGCCCAGCGAAAGACTCGTTCGGCGGTTGTTCGTACTTCCACTCGCCAGACTATTTTCCTCCCAGTGCCAGGGCTTGTCAATCCAGAAGAGCTCAAGCCCAGTGATCTAGTGGGAACCAACAAAGACTCCTACCTGATTTTGGAAAAGTTGCCAGAAGAATTCGATTCTCGAGTTCAGGCAATGGAGGTCGATGAACGGCCCACTGAGGAGTATTCGGATATTGGGGGAGCCGATCAGCAGATCCAGGAACTGATTGAAGCGGTAGTGTTGCCAATGACCCACAAAGATATGTTTGATACTATCGGTATCCGTCCACCCAAGGGAGTGCTGGTAGGTCTATTTCGATTGATGCGTCCTGCGAGTTTTATCTACTGTCTGTACGAGTATCGCCTCCTCACTTCCAATTTTGTGTACGAAATGCATTAGCTTCACGGCCCCCCCGGAACTGGCAAAACCTTGCTCGCGAGAGCATGCGCCAATCAAACCAACGCCATTTTCCTCAAGCTTGCAGGACCACAGTTGGTTCAGATGTTCATTGGTGATGGAGCAAAGCTAATCCGGGATGCGTTTGAATTGGCGAAGGCAAAGATCAAACAGGGGGTAAGTGCTGGAGCCATCCTCTTTATTGATGAGATTGATGCGATTGGTACAAAGCGTTTTGGTGGAGATCAAAGCGGAGACCGAGAGGTGCAGCGAACCATGTTGGAGTTGCTCAGTCAGTTGGACGGGTTCAGCAGCAACGAAATGATCAAGGTGATTGCAGCCACAAATCGTCCTGATGTTCTTGATCCTGCCTTGTTGCGATCCGGACGTCTTGACCGAAAAATTGAATTGCCTCATCCCAACGAGGATGCTCGTGCCAAGATTTTGAGGATCCACTCCCGAAAGATGAATGTCAGCTCGGAGGTTGTCTTTGAAGAACTTGCTCGATCATGCGAGGATTTCAACGGAGCCCAATTGAAGGCTGTAGCGACAGAAGCCGGAATATTTGCTCTGCGACGAGAGAGCACCGAAATTATGCACGAGGACTTTGTAGAAGCCATCACGGTGGTAGCGGCGAAGAAGAAGGGTAGTTTGGATTATTTCGCTTGAGGAAACCACACAACAATGCTTCAGTCTGCTCTCACACAAACATATGGTTTCTTGCCAGAGACAAGTAAACCTTTATAACGACGCCGGTACTATCTTTCTCATGCAGTTGGAACTTGCCAGAGTACTGCTGAATGTTCTAGCTAGATGGCGTCGGAAGCCAGCATCATCCTCGCATTCAGGACTTGCTAGGTACAAACACGTTAGTTCCTTGCTCGTTTTCTTCAAAAGCATTTTAGGCTGTTGGGTGATGGGGCGTACCGAACCAAGTACTGGTTGTCGGTGCAACTGGTACCGCAGCAAGTGTGCAACTCTGACGCGACAGTGTTGCCAAGCTCCCAATACCGTACCGGTACCAGTGTGCCAGTTGGCAGGTTTTAGTTCCAGAATTGGCAGACAAATATGCGGTGCAGCTCTGACGTGACAGTGTCCCAAGCTCCCAATATCCAATTCTGCCAGTTGGCACTTTTTAGAATTGCTATCTCTAGCTGGCCTCCGGTACGGGTACGGTAGGGTGCGATAGTAGGGCAGACGCAGAGGATATTTCAAGGCAAGGGTATCGAATGATATCTTTGGCCCTTCAAATGCCAGTTGGCATAGACGTATCTGTTGGTTCCATTGGTGCCGTCATGGTCTTCCAATACTACAGTACGGGTTATTAACTTAAAATAGGTCTAGCTAGCTAGCTTTGTCTCGGCGGCGCACCCACAGTGGCGCCAATGATATCACAATGTGTTCTGAGCTGCATTTCGTACCGTAGCTCTGCTGGCTCCCATGGTTGAAGTGACGGAAGATACGTCAGTTTTCAAGGCAATTGTTGCTTGATGATGTGATGATTCACCAATCGGCCAACCACAGCCATGTTTTTTGTGCTTGAGTCATTGATTGATGTATTACAGTGTAGCAAGGAGGCTCTCACAATTGTAACAAGTAGATAAGAAAAAGACGACGATGAGGTTCCACAGTTTGGCAATTTTGGCTGGTCTTTTGGCCCCATCAGCGGCCTTCACGACAACACAGGTCTTCACGTCCCAAGTTCGATCAATTCCATCATCTCTTCAATCCACCGTAGAATCTCCCACCTTCACTTCTGACGGTGCAAAGCAACAAGTTGGAAATAATGCCTTTCTCAACAAAGATCTCATGTCCAGGGCACAAAATGGTCCTGGAATCAAAAATGAGGAGTCTCTGAAGATTGGAATTGTGGGTGCAGGTCTAGCTGGAATGGTTGCCGCCATGGACCTTGCCGATGCCGGGCATGATGTAGAAATGTTCGAAGTTCGTCCTTTTGTGGGTGGCAAAGTCAGTTCCTGGAAAGATAAGGAAGGAAATCATATCGAAATGGGTCTTCATGTGTTCTTCGGATGCTACTACAATCTCTTTGGAATCATGAAGCGAACTGGGGGATTCGATGAAAACCTTCGCATCAAAGAGCATGTCCATACATTCGTAAATGAAGGAGGAAAACTAGGAGCCCTGGATTTCCGTTTTCCCGTGGGGGCCCCTGTGAGCGGTCTCCAGGCTTTTGCCAGGACAGAACAACTGGATGTTGGCGACAAGTTCCACAATGCCGTGCGGTTGGGAACATCCCCCATTGTACGTGCACTGGTGGATTTCGATGGTGGTATGGACATGGTTCGTGATCTCGATGATATTAGCTTCACGGAATGGTTCACCCAGTTGGGCGGAAGTCGAGGCAGCCTCGATCGCATGTGGGATGCCATTGCCTACGCTCTGGGATTCTTGGATTCTGACAGCATCAGTGCAAGAGCCATGCTTACAATTTTTATGTTGTTTGCGATTCGCACTGAAGCCAGTGTGCTGCGTATGTTGGAAGGAAGCCCCCAAACTGGACTTCATGACCCCATTATCAAGTACCTAGAAGACCGAAACGTCAAGATCAACTTGAGCACTCCTTGCCGAGATATCGTCCACGATTTGGACGAAGATGGAAAGCCAACTCGTGTCAAGGGCATCAAGATTGGAGCCAACGAGGAGTACAAAGAATTCGATGTCGTTATTGCAGCATGTGATGTTCCTGGAATCAAAAAGGTTCTACCCGAAAGTTTCCGAAAAGTGGATTTCTTTGATAAGATCTACAAGCTCGATACGGTTCCAATTGCCACTGTTCAGGTCCGATTCGATGGATGGGTAACCGAAATGCAAGACGAAGCTAGGATGATGGACATATCTGGGGATCAAAGTGACGGACGTGGCGCTGGTATCGACAATCTCTTGTATAGCGTGGACACGGAGTTTTCTTGCTTTGCCGATCTTGCGCTCACCAGCCCCGGTGATTACTACAAAGAAGGGGAGGGAAGTCTTATCCAAGCTGTCTTTGACGAACGAGCCTTTAAACGTTCCAATGAGCAGCTTGTGGAAGACTGCATCAAGCAATTGAACAACATCTTCCCATCATCTCGAAAGCTCAAGTGCACTTGGTCTTCGGTGGTGAAACTGGGCCAGTCCCTCTATCGCGAAAAACCTGGACAGGACAGATTCCGCCCCACTCAAGCTACACCTATCCCCAACTTCTTCCTTGCGGGTTCTTATACTTTCCAAGATTACCTCGACTCGATGGAAGGAGCAACACGGTCGGGACTGATGGTCGCCGATGAAGTCATCTCTCGAGCCGACGGACCCAATGGGCTGAAGCAACAAGCAGGGAAGAATCGTGAAACTGCTGCAAAGCCCTTCTTTGTAGCCTAAAAGCAGGAAGAGATGGAGACGGTACGGTGGCTATACATGTAGTACTCTGATTCTAACTAAAAACAACCATAATGTACAAGGCATCCTCTACTAGAGTAGCTAGCTTCTAGCTAGCTACGGATACAGTAGGACTGAGGTATCTTCATCTCCATCCCGGATTGGCCTTCAAGTCAAATAAGTTTTTGCTGAAAAATTTAAGCAAATGTTTCAGAAAGTTTAAAAAAATACATAAATTTGCCTAAATTTAAAGATACTGGAGACATATTGGCAAATAACATGAATTCAATCCAACCGAATTCAGAAAATATCAAATTCAATGTTTACCGTATCATTTGCACGGTACCGAAAATGAAGGTTTTCGCATATTCGCAACGGTCAGTTTTTTGGAAGATACTATCAAGAGGAGAGAGCACCATGACGGATGACAAGGGCGTCTCAGACGCCGATGCTCCCCTCAAAGAGGAGGAGAAGAGCCAGAAACGTGACAATGATACGGTGAAAGGCAACGCAGATGTGGCGAAGACTGCAGTCGCTGCGGAAGAGATCATTATTTCATCGCCCTCGCCTTCAGTCTCCTTTTCGTTGCTCGTCTTTTGGGTTCTTCCTGTGCTGTTTCTAGCCATTGCAAGTCATCATGTGATCGATACCAAGACACCACCCAAGGCGATTTTCCCTCCTAACCGTCAGGGCATGTCTGTGAACTTGAATACTGCGGGTATTACCACCGACTCCAAGAGTAGTAGCGCCTCGCGAGAAAAGCCAGGCAAGATGATGTTGAAGAAGAAACCCAAACCTCCCTCGCCCACCCCCAGACGTTCTCCCAAACCTTCGCCGCTTCCAACTGCACACACCAATTGGCCCACAAGCTATCGCGAAGCAGTGGAGACCATCCAGGAACGTAATCGGAAGATTCCCCGCATTGGCACCTCCCGTCAGGGTTCGGGCAATGGCCCTACCAGTTCCAAAAAAGAGACCGGGAAAAGACCAAGCTCCACCCCAACTCGCAGTAAGAAAAAGCCTGACAACGGAATCAATCGAGATCCGATGAGAAAACAGTATGAAGACAGAATCGACAAATTCCGTGAAGAGTATCAGGTAGGAAATTTGGAGGATTTGCTCGTACGTGTTTCTGGAACCTCGAACAGCCGCTCACCATTTACGACGAACTTTGTCCACAAAGAATGATCCCGAAAATGTGTTTAAAGCCATCAAGCTGGCCGATTCGTTGCGCTTGTACGATGTGAGCTATCATGACGGAGGTACGAAACAGCCTGAAGCTTTGGAGACGTATGAGAAAGTGATTCAAATGACAGTGGCCAAGAGAGAGAAAATGATCGAAGAGGGAAAAGAAACAGACAAATCACTTGCTGCTACAACTAACGTCAACGATGAAGTCATGATGGATTACACGCAAAAGAGCGTCGACGGACTCCTCTGTTCGCTCTACACAGCAAAGGGAAAGGTTTGTTGAAAATAATGTGCTATCCGAAATGATTTCCTTACGCCATTGTTTGAGCTCAACTTCCATCCTCTCGCTCTAGGTCTTCTTTATGTCAAATATGTTTGAAAGGGCTGTCGAGTCCTACAGCAAGTGCCTCGAAATCGCACCCCTTTATTTGGATGCTTTGAGGTAAGATTTGGAGGTCGACTTGATTTCTGTCATCTTGGTACTGTTGCTAAATAACGGTCCTGCCTGCAGTTCGCGTGGTTCATCCGAGATTATCTTGGGGAATTACGAAGCGGCTGGTCAAGATCTGATGAGAACCATCGGTAAGTCCAACTGTCTCCCCAGCAGCAGCAGACACATATGCTTCGGTAATCTGGTAATCTGAAATCACACACTAACAGAAAAGACGATGTTTCTTGTGGCGGTTAGAAAACGACACGCAGAACTTGTTCAACGACGCTTACACCGGCTTGGCCAGAATTCTCCAAGCCAAGGAAAACGTTTTGCCGGAGGGCTGGGCACCCATCATTCAGAAGCTCGATGACTTGATTCCATCTCTGGAAGGAATGATATCGTCCGTACCAGGAGAAGACGGGAGGAAAGTGGTAGCCAATACGCTCAATCGTCTGCATCATGTTATGTTCACCTACCATGACGTCAAAACGAAAGACACAACGGAGGCGTGGGAACATCTTACCCGATCGTACAAACACAAAATGTCAGCCTTACCCGCCTGGCAAAGCGGCTTCGAAAAGCAAAAGATCACACAAACGATGCAAATCTTTCACAGAGGGTTCTGGCCCAGCGACGTTGGCAGCAAATCGGAAGTTCCGGTTTTCATCGTTGGTTTTGTTCGCAGTGGGTCTACGTTGCTGGAGCGCGTCTTGGATGCGCACCCAAACATCGTTGGGACTGGAGAAGACTCCGTTTTCAATGGCAAGCTTGACAGAATCCGTAACGAAATCGTGGAAGCGAGTGTTCTAGGTGATCCATCCAAGCTGGCCGAGACTGTGGAACGGCAGGCGAACATGGTTGTCTCTGAGATGAAGGAAAGATGGGAGATGATTGAGGCTAACACTGCCAAGGCACCTGAAGCAGAAGCGGGCGCGGAAAGCGCCGAACCCAGACGCTTTGTGGACAAGATGCTGAACAACTACTACAATATCGGCTTCATTCATATGTTGTTCCCAAAGGCTCTTATCTTGCACGTAATTCGTGAACCGATGGACACAATCTTCAGTGCCTACAAGCATGAATTCCCTCCTGGAACATTGGACTACACATCAGATTTCTCAAGCCTTGCAGAACTCTATCACAGCTATCGCGATTTGATGGACCATTGGGATAAAGAATTGCCTGGTCGAGTCACCCATGTAAGTCATTCCGCGGTATACCTCTTCGTGTTTTACGCAGCCCTTGATCTCACGTAAGAAATCCGTAGGTTCGGTACGAAGATCTTGTTCATGACATGCCTGGTATGGCGAAGTCAATTATCCAGGCAACGGGTCTGGAATGGCACGATGATGTGCTGAGCTTCCACAAGAAGAAACACGCCGTCAATACCCTCTCAACAACGCAGGTACGCAAGGGCATTTACAAGCACAGTTTGCAATCTTGGCGCAAGTACGAAGAGCAGCTACAGCCACTTGTGGATCTGATTGGCGACCGTGTTGATCCCAATCGAGAAACTACTCTTCCAGGATATGTGAAGCCGGAGCCTGTTGAAGAGGCAGCGGAGTAATACTACGATGTAGAAGTGAGTAATATAGGCCTCGCACTTTGGTTCAAGGAAAGATTTACCTACCGTTATGGGCGCAAGTTGGCAGTCTGGCCAGCCTTCGCAACGTTGTACTTTCAACGACCACATCTCTCCCCAAGACAAAGCGGCATATCTTCCTGTGCAAAAGACAAACAGCTTAGCTAGTCCCACCAGAGGCATGACGAATCACGACAACACATTTCTTTAGATTCTTATTCCTAATTATTCCTAAGAATGAGATTCAATCTCTCGCCTTGTCCTCCTTCAATGATTGAATCCCATCGCTTCTTCGTGTAAGATGCCTTCCCCAAGCATCTTTGGAGAGCCCCCTGTTCCCATTGGCATCAGCTCCTGCCTTCCTTTGCTTTAGGAGTGGCATGGCGTCATTCTGGGAAAGATCAGCTCACCTCAGAGGTACTTGCTTCAGGCATCTCGGTTCAACTAAATGCCCGTAACATCCTACTACTTCGAAATGTCTCTTCTGACCATGAAAGAAGAAAGGAGCCGTAGATGAATGGATCTACTCTTTGGCGACCTTTTCCTCCTTTTCATGCAGACGACTTGATGAGCAACAAACGGCCCAGCAAACTCATTAAAGTCCGCTGACAGGCTGCGGAAGCAATTGGAGCAACTTGGCATCAGTACCGGAACAGTCACATATCCTCTACTCATGTTGCTAACTTACGCAGTTTGTCTGCCCGGCTCATCCCATGCAGAATCCGCACTTGCGAGCAGGGCTGATGTTCGTGTCTGCCTCAATAGCTGCTCATGAGAATGAGGAAAAGAGAAAGTTAGCGGCAAAGAACAACTTCAACTGCAGCGGAATGGCTACATTTCGACGTACCGGGATTGTCGAGGCCGAAGAGTTCAGCGTTCATCATGGGCACAGGGTTTTCGACTTGGACTGGAACAGCGGGTTTGAAGAAAGCCGACGCAACTCCAAGCAGGAGCACCAACAAAATACTAGAGATGAAAGCCCTCATGGTCGATGAATCAATGGAACAACTAACTTTTACTTGTTCTGCAAAAATATGAAGATCAGAAGGCGGGCTAACCAAAAAAAGAAGCCGATCACTTCTTTAATTAACTCAAGTTCGGGAGGCCGGACTAAAGAAGTATTTATTTGATTTCGATATTTTGATGCTATTCAATTCCTATACGGTATCAGGTACTACCACACGGTACCAGAATCATGAGACTATATCAAAATATACAGAAATATAAAGCCATTCGAAGTAAATAAAGGATAATGTCAAAGCATTTCTCTTGAGAAGGGACACGTATCCATTCGCTGACGTTTCAAAGGAATTCTTTTGACACCACTCCCCAGGATGTTCTGAAAAGCCCTTCGCGCTTTGTGTGTTTGCAGGCATGCTGAAGAGGGTATCTTTCCCTCATCCTTCTCCGTTTTGGCATCATTCCACCACTCCACACCCGCTCTCTCCCTTCTCTGTGGCACATTGTATGACCATACGGTGGTACCGGTACTGCTAGCTAGTTGATCAGTGTACCTCTCAATCTATCTGCGTACTAGCTAGCTAGTATCATATTGCACCGTTCGACAAGAGATGCTAAAGAAGCCACTGCCCAGTTCGTTTGCACTGGAACGAAAAAAGCAAATGAACTACGATAGCTAGAATCCTTTCCCTTTTTAATCGTTGGGTTCTTCGTTATCCCTCTGGCCAAATCCCATCAATTTCAGCAAATTGCTCGTCCTGTTTTTGCTTTGTTTTCAGAGGAAAATCACTGCTAGCTATGGCTAGCTAGCCATCCATCTAGCTGTATGCATGGTGCATGGTGCTACTATGTGGTACAATGTGGTCATACGATGCAAGAACACTCATAGCGCTGAGCGGAAGCGCTGGTACGGTACGACTGTACCACACGCAGCCAGTAGATCTAGATGCTTTGGAAAATACATGTACAGATCGGTGATTGGTGGAGTGATGGAGTACTGTACTGTATGCAGTACTATGTCTGGTAGCTATTAATACGGTAGTAGGACAGGCATTTCGCTTTTTAGAAAAGGCACTGTGACCAACATTGGCCTTTAAATAATCATCTTCGGTCATATTTTTGGTCATACTGTATTGCAGCGTACCATACGATTAAATTTCTCCACCGTACCGGTATGCAGCCTCACAAAACCTTTTAAAAACTGCCTCCTCGCTGGGCCATGAAACTGGCAGGAATGATCCTCATTCAATGCTTCAATCTTGCCACAAAATCAAACTAATCCTCCGCTAACGCAGCTAGCTAGTACCATGCTCTTCAAGAAGCTCACCCAAGATCGAAACAGCAAGGCTGTCCAAAAAGTGAATGACGGAGACGAGAGGAAGCTCCGACGGTCGGATACACTAGACACTTTGGATGCTGCTTTGTCTTTCTCGGATAGATCTACTCCCGACGTTGTGGATGATGTAGAATCGGACGACGGAGGCTCCGTCGCTTTTACTGACAAACCAGACGTCTACGGGCAACTCCACCCAGTCGAGACACCCCAACTCATCGCTGGCAAGATTGTGGCGTTTGATGCCGCCGTCAACAATCTCCCTCGCAAGAGGCGAGCAGCGCTGAGCCAGGCCGTTGAAGAATGCCCAGAGCTCCTAACCGAGAAATTCAAGCTTCAGTTCTTGCGATGTGACTGTTTCAATGTCCAACTCGCAGCCAAGCGGTATGGCAAGTACTGGGAAAGACGGCTAGAAGTCTTTGGCCCCGACAAGGCTTTCCTTCCATTGACGCCTGAAGGTGCTCTAAAAGACGACGCTGTGGCTCTTTCGGTTGGTCTTCTCACTCTGACCGGAACAAAGGATTCTTCTGGCAGAAACATCATGGTCGCCGATCCCACCAAACAACAATTTGACAAGTACTCCACACAGAGTATGATTCGGACTGTCTGGTACATGGTTCACCTCGCATTGGAGGACGAGGAGACCCAAAAGCAAGGACTTGTCTATATTGTCGACTTGTCCAAAGCTTCGCTTTCCTTGCTGGACAAAGAACTTGTTAGGGTTGCCGCCCTCTCCGTTACTGGATGTATCCCAGTCCGACTCTCGGGGATTCACGGACTATATCCACCAGCTGTCTTTTGGGTAATCTACCCTGTCGTCAAAGTGCTTCTGGGTGAACGACTCAGGAAGAGAGCGAAATTCCACTCTGGATCCAAAAAGAAAGTACTGGCAGAATTGGCAAAGTATGGACTGGACTCCACCAAACTACCAAAGCTGATTGGAGGAGAGCTGGAAGTGTAGGATGCATTGGTGGGAGTCCGCTCACAACCAACTATTGATAAGCTAACATACATACAGTACTCTTGCTAAAACTGCTCCAGCACCTCTACTCTATTATGACGACAGCGTACATGTGTCTATCCTCTTGTAACTCTTTGTTACTGTTTACAGGATTCAAGTCAGCAATCAAGGAGGAGGACAACGAAACAATGACACCTTCATTTTCTTGGGAATGGACGGAAACGAGATGGTTTGAATTTGCAATGACGGGAGGATTCGACTCTATCGGCGCAGTCGACGGAGGTAAGTGATGATTTGAGCAGTGCCGAGTTGGACAACGGTAGAACAGTGACGAGAGGACTCAAATCGGTGCAGTCGACGGAGGATGTAGCTTTTGGAAATGATGTGATCAAAATTCAAGGAATGCGCCACGGTGCGGGAGATATTGGAGAATACGTTTCAAACACGTGTACGTGATCTTTTTTCCGTACACAACAACTGATTCAGCGTGGTGTTAGCTAGCTAGTTTATTGATGGCTCTACAACAAAGAGTCCCAGTCCAGTGCATCAATTTTGGAGTAGAACTTTCCATCTGATGCCTCTTCCCGCCGAACCTGAAAGTACTTCTCCGGCATGCTCACACCAGCCTGAGTGCTCAATGTGTCCTTGATCAACGAGATGAAGTCTTCATCGTGAGTGATCAACACCAACTGAAAGTTCGCTTGCTTGGACCGATTGGCAATGATCTGAGCCATGGCAATAGCTAGTCCCTTGCGATTGCTCTCATCAAGATTGACAGTTGGTTCATCTAGCACCATCGCACCAAGGTGAACACCAAATGTTTCTGCCAATGCCAAACGAATGACCAAGCTGGCCAAGACTCGCTGACCGGCACTGCAACGGCCTCGCATGTCCATCTTTGTATTTCCCTTCGTCATGACAACTCGGTAGTTGTATGACTTGGCCGCTCGCGAATCCTGGCCGCTCTCAAGTTCAATGTTGGTAATGTCCTCTCCTTTGTACGTGAGCAGCCACAGTTCCTTCACAATCTGAACAAGCAAGAAGCCAGAGGTGCGCATGCCAATCAGATGATGCATCCTGCCATTGTCATGCTACCAGCAGAGTTTTTTGCGAAGTTCGTACCTTGTTGATTTCGCCAATCTTTATTCCATGGAAGCGAAGCAAAGCTTTGTCGAGAGCACCTGCATAGCTGTCAATATCTTTGATGGCAAGAAGAGTTGTCTCGAGCTTGATCAGCTGAAAAGCATGCATGAGAGTTTGAGTCGCACTGGCCTATCATTCTAAGACATCATTCCCACGGTGATTGGACAAGCACGTACCTCAGCTCTGTATCTAGAATCAATGTCACGATACTCTTCCGATAAAAGTTTGCGTTGCAAGTTACGGATTTGCTCGACAATCTCCGTGCGTCGTCCATCCAAGCGGGCAAGAGTGGCGTCGCTCTTCTGCATTTTCTCTTGGGCTTCGATTAGCAAGTCCTCAGCCGTATCTCCTCCCTCGACTGCATCTCGCTGAGCTTTGAGCTTGGACATTTCGTCTTCAATCTGCGAAATTTCATCCAACGTCGTTAGGAAGTCTATGTTGTCCTGCAATACTTTCTCATAGCGAGCTTGATCGTCCACGGCCTGGAGACGTTTGCAGGAATGAATCGGTGTGAGTTTGGAAGAGTAGCATTTGCGAAACAAAGTTTTCTTCCACATTACTTTTGACGCTGCATCCAAAATAGGCTGGATCCGCTCCATCTCCTCCTTCTTTTTCTCAATATTCTCAAGAATTGCTGCAACATCAGCTTCGATCTTTTCCAACTGATCGTTCCCGTTGTACCTCTCAATCTGGTCCGAGATGTCCTGCAAATGCTTCATCTCCCCCTTGAAGTCGCCCAAAATTTTGGAAAGCTTGCTTTCTTGGGACATTGCATTATTGTAGATTCGCTTCTTCTCGTCATTCTTCGCTTTGATCTTCTGTTGGAACGAATTCATCTGCTCGGAAGCTTTCTCAATATCGATCGAAATGTGTTCTTTCCGTTTCAGAAGCTCGTCGCGTTCTTTGATAGCTTTCTGCTCCTCTTCAAACTTCTTCTGCTTGTCTCGGAAGAGTTCGGAAAGTCTGCTTGCCTGTCATGGCATGAAAGGGATGACTCAAGTGGTTAGTACAATCTTCATTTCACCTTGTTCCGGTCTTTGTCCAGCCTTTGACTGACTCACCTTTGACTGGGCTGCAGAGATTTCTTCGTTGAGGACTGACAGTTTCTTGTTGCCCTTGTTGATTTTGTCATAGAGTCCAGCTTGCGCCTCTCTTAGTTCATCCAGTTCTGACTCCACCTGTTCAAGGCTTGTATCACCCACTGTGCCAGCCGTTTCGGCAGTGAGCTGGAGATTCTTGTCTTCGATACTAGATTCGTGCTCCTCAATGCGCGCTGCGTCAGACTTCCAGCGCTTTGCCATCTCCTGAAGATCACGAATATTGTGAGCTATCTCCTCAGCTGCGCTTGCCTCTTTGGATGCCTTCTCAAGCTCTCTGCTTCGGGTGCTCTGAGTGCTTGCGAGTTGCTGCATTTTGTCACGGACAGCCGCTAGCTCTTCCGTGGCAGAACGGTATTCCAGCAACCCACGATCACACTTCTGGATGGTGGTGCTCCAATTATCATGTTGCTTTTTCTTTTCAAGCCACTCTTGTCGCTCATCGCCATCTTCAACATTGAGGAGAGGCGAACCCTCTTTGCCAAGTGACCGCAGCGTTTCTACCATGGTTTTTCTTTCCTCGCCGTCGTTGAACGCTCGCGAACAACAAGCACACATACCGTCTTGTTTGCTCTGCAAGATACAAAAAAGTGAGTTCCGAAGCACTCCATAGCACATACACATAACCGCAAAGCATTCCCACCTTGATTCGAAGGGTTCTCAAAATGGCCTTAATGATCCCGATATCCTCAATGCCTTGTGGGTCGTCATCCTACTCGGGATATTATTGAGAACGATGTGAGCGACGAAGATATCAAATGTACAAAACAGTTCTAATCTCACCTCGATCGCTTGCTTCTGCTTCTCCAACCAATCACGTAGCTCTTGAGGATCGCCGTTCTGTACTGACCACGCGTCCGAGAAGCCATGTTCCTTCATTTCCTCGACGATTCGCTTGAGCTTGCCGATAACGCTCTTGTTGCCTTGCGAGAGTTTGGAGATCTTGCTTTCGAGCATCGCCACTGTATCATTAGCCGCATGCAACGAGGCAGACGCCCTAGACACTTCGGTCTTCTCGTTCTCCATCTTTTTGCGGGTGTTGTTGGCTTTTTCCTTTGCTTCTTCTGCCTTGCTGTCAATAGAAGCACGAATGTTCTCTACAGCCTGAGCAACGGAAGTATCATCCGGGAGAACGTCAGGAAGAGCTATCTTCAAGGAACTCAGCTTTCGCCGCTGCTTCTCCAGTGATTCCTTGAGGGTGCTGGCTTCTTGAACGGCGGCGTCCTTCATGTCGTCTTTTGAAGAGCATCAGGCTTAATGTTGAGTTTGGTAGCGTCACCATGCTACAACCAACGATAACGAGGCTTATGGCCAACTCACCAATGCGTTGCTGCAAACGTGCGCTACTCTTGAGCCGGTTTCTTGCCGTCTCCTTCTTCTCGATAGACTCCTTCATACTGTCCAGGTCTGCGTCGTACGACTTCAATTCGGCCCTCAGCTTTGCCCTAAGCGTACGGTATGGGGTATGGTGGGTAAGTACAAGCACTCAGTTGTAAACAATTGACATGGCACAAACGCGGTTCTCGGCCACCTACCCTTCGTCTTCCTTGCTGAGCTTCTCGAGATCCTTCACGGCTTGCTTCATTTGCTCCTCAAAGTCGTCCAAATGACTTTTCTTGGTTCGCTTTGACCCGAGTTTGCGGGCCAAATCTTGGAGCTTTCGCTCCATGTCCTTGCTTTCAGTAGCGAGCTTTTGTTTTTCTGTGAGGACGGCAACAAAGAAATTGTTAGTGCTCCCCCCTATATTCAACAGAACGAAAAGTCCCGCATCGGGCGATGACAAGTAGACATACCTTTCTCAAACGACTTCTTGTTCCCTTCTAGCTCTTGTAATGCGCTGTTGCATTCATTTTCTTCGTTTCGGTACTTCGCCTTGTGTTTTTCCAGCTCTTCCTGCAGTTCCTTTTTCTTGTCTTCAAGACTGCTGAAAAAGCTCTTCATGTCTTCTTCGGAGAATCGTGACGAGGGGTCGGCCCCATGCTGGCTAATCGAGAAAGAGTCGTCAAGGCGAGAGTATTGTGTCATGGAGCTCTGTAAGTCCAGTCCAAAAGTTTTTTCAACGTTCTTCATCAGTTCCAAGCGCTTCTCCAGCCGTTGGACATGCGCGTCCTTCTCTGCGGCGAGCTTTCCCTTGTCGCTGTTGAGGTTGATTTGTTCCTGTTGCAAGCTTTCAATTTCAGCTTTGATGGATTCTACTTGCCGAGCGAATCTGTTTTTCTTTTTGTGTGCCTTTTCCATTTCCTTGTCAAAGTTTGATTTCTTTTCGACCAGTTCTTCCATGCTGTCCTCGGTGAGATCAGTCTCGAGCAATTGTTTTTGAGTTTCGCTTCGCGACTCCAGCTGTGCGAGCTCCTGTTTTTTGTCTTTCATGCGGTCGGTGATTTTGTCAGTTTTTTCAATGATCTTGGTCAAGCGACTTGCCTCGTCGTCGGCATCCTTCTTGTCCTGCCGGGCCTCGTCCCTTTTCTCCTCGAGAACTGCCAAAGACTGTTTTTGGTCGTCCAAGTCCTTGCGGAATATGACGGAGGCACTTTTGGCGGATTTTAATCCACTGACTTCTGCTTTGATATCCTTTGATTGGCTTGTCAGTTCCTTTTTTGTCTTTCGGAAGCTTTCCAATGCCTTTGTGTAGCGGGTGGAATCAAAAATGTCATCAAATCGCTTTTTGACGATTGCTGACTCTTGCAGTGGCCAGCTGCTCTCCTCCTGGTGAACGAAAAGGCAGTAATCCATAATAGCCTTGCTGACGCCCATCAGGGATGGGATTTGCTTATCCAGTTCTCCGCACTTGTGTGACAAGCTGACTCGTTCGCCCGTGTCGACATCTATGCATCGGATCACCCCATCTAGCTGTTTGAACTGCATGGTGGCTTTCTTCTGAGTCAACTCCATGGATCGAATGACCACCATATCAGCCCCAGCCTTGTTGGTGAATCGCAACTTGATGTTTCCCTTGACCACAGACTGGTTGCAGCCGCGAGGATCACAAAGGAAGTTCTGGCCGGCAGACCGCGTGCCTCCTCCAGGCGGCAATGATCCACTCAGGGCGAACTTGAGACTCTCAATGATGGTGGTTTTCCCACATCCATTAGCCCCTGAGATGATGGTCAACGGAAACAGAAATTCCACAACTTGCTCTTCAGCGTCAGGACTGAACGACCGAATGCCACGGATCGAAATCTTGTTGATGGACGCCATTCTTCCAAATAAATAATACTCAATCCAGACAACTAATCCAGTCAAATTCTTCGCTTTATTCTAAAGCTATCTCAGCCTCTCTCTCTCTCTATCTATCTATCTCCGTCACTGCCTCTTCAGCAACCAGAAACACCAGCTCAATACTACGATCGAATAGCGCTCTCTGATCCTCTGATCACAACAGCAGCACTCTTCTGGTTTTTGACAGAAGGCTCGATCCAATGCGAAATGTGACAATGCTGAAGATCCAGTCGAATGAGTCGATCACATCCGAACCAGAAAGAAAGATTTCTGTTCGGGACTGAAATTTGCTGCCACCCAGTCGCAACCCAGAGCATTTTCAGAGGCAACGTTAAGGCGCCGAAGCTGGGTCAAAAGCTGTTGGATTGATTGAATCATTCGATTCTGATTGCTTGTGGCATTGAGTCTGCATGTAATAAAAGCATGTAGCAAGAAATCCTCATTCTTTGAAGAAAATGCCACGAAGATTCACAGAATGGGGTATCGGGTAAAGCTGTGCAACATTCCTAGCATAAGACGTCACAAATCAAACTGTGTGGGGCGAGATATGTAATCAGCAAGGATGTTCTGCTTGCCAGGGATGTGGTCCATGGAGATGCCAATGCTGGGGGCTTGGAGGAGTTTGCATTATAGCTGTCCAGCAGGTGTTGCCCTTGGATGGCCTGTGGAAAAATAGTTGGGAGCAAAATCACGGGTATCTTGGGCTCCCCATAGAGAAAGAGACCTGCCTTGTCATTTTCAGACAACTCCTTTGAGGCCTTGAGGCAACGGAGGGTAATGTTGGTCTTCGTCCCCTGTTCAGTTGCCCTGTTGGGTGAAGGTGCCCCAAATGGGATATCCCAAGGCTACCGTACGCTATTTGTACTTTTGGGATGATGTAGGCTTCGCGAAGTTATCCATGGGTGCAATAGCATAGCAGCTTCGCAGAGTTCAAATGTGACGAGACGTGCGGGACAAAAACGTCAGCTCTTCTTGTGGCCGTTCGAACTTCAAGAACAAGACGAAGAGCAAAAGCCAACAGGATCCATCATAAAAACCGAGCCTTGCCAATATAAGGAGAAAGTGCAAGCCATTGGGACTCTAGATTTGACTTCCGCGTTGATTGTCACTGCTTCCTTAGAGGAGGGATCAGGTTGCTGTGAGCTGGAGCTGCATCAAGTGCTGCAAGTCAGAGGTTGTAAAGAATACACTCCTGGCACACACAGTGTTTCCATCTCAGCCAGTTTGAAATTCAGGCTACCCCCACCATACCATCGACCCATACACGCTGAAGAGACGAAGTTATGAGATCAGTGATGAAGACAACCCATTCATTTGGCTTCTTAGCGGCATTGCTGTGTCAATTTTTGGGAGTGGATTCGTTTATCGCTCCTTCGGCCAGATTGACCAGGATACATCGGAGCCATTTGTCTTCTACAAAGGAACCCACCACAGAGACGACAACCAGCACCGACAATGATTATAATGCAGTATTTGTGGCCAAAGAAGGAGGACGAGGGGCCACTACGGCTTCCCAACAAGCTCTGGAACAGAACCTGAGTTTGGGTGCACCTCCTGCAAGACCTTCAGGTGGACATTTTTTGACACGGGGTGGAGTCCAGGTGACGGCTCATGTAGAACCCATGGAGTTTTCAGATGAAATGAGAAGTGGCACTTCTGCCAATGCCATTGAAGAATTGGTCCAACAACTAGATGAACACAAAGGAGTCTTGTTGACTAGCAGTTATGAATTTCCGGGGCGGTATGCACGTTGGTCTCTTGGATTTGTGGATCCCCCGTTGGAGATTTCAGGTCGAGGCTCCAAATGCACAATCAAGGCACTCAACCAACGTGGCAAAGTTATTTTGCCTGCAGTAGAAGAAGTTATGAAGTCACTGAAAGAAGAAGGAATCCTTTCAGAACTCCATGTATCCAACCAGGGGGAAACGCCTAATGGAACAGGAGACTCGATGGACTCTGCTATGACTCGAATTGACGTTACAGTGGTCCCTCCTTCTGAGGTGGGTACCTTTAGCGAAGAGGAACGATCACGTCAGGTGAGCAATATAAAGCTATTTTGTGATTCAAATGTATCGCCGGAATTGGTGCTGATCTGTGTCTTTTGTCTACAACTCGTCACGTTAACACGACAACGTAGCCATCTCTGTTCTCTGTTGTGCGAGCTCTGGTTGATTTGTTTGGATATCAAGCACCTGACGGTCAACTGGGTTTGTATGGTGCATTTGGATACGATTTGACATTCCAATTTGAGCCTATCAAGTTATCCCAGCCTAGAGATGACGACCAGAGGGATGTACTTCTGTATTTGCCAGATACCATCATTGTTGTAGACCAAGACAAAAGAGACGCCTGGAAAGTCGACTATGACTTTTGCGTCAATCAACGATCAACACAAGGAATGCCTCGCCTAGGAGAGAACGCACCCTTTCAAGCATTTGACGAAAGCAAAGTGGATTTCAATCCACGCGACACCCCTCCAAATGAATTTGCACAGAGTGTTGAAAAGGCAAAGCGTGAATTTGCAGTTGGTAACCTGTTCGAAGCAGTCTTGTCACAAACATTCCGAGAAAAGTTAGCCGAGGAAACACCACCTTCGGTTCTCTTTCGCCGACTTCGTGCTCGCAACCCTGCTCCGTACGGTTTCTTTATCAATCTGGGAGAACAGGAGTATTTGGTAGGTGCAAGTCCGGAAATGTTTGTTCGCTGTGAAGCCATTGCAGACAATGATTATAGGCCCGGTGCTTTGAGAGTCGAGACATGTCCCATTTCGGGAACCGTGGCTCGTGGAGCGGATGCATTGGAAGATGCACAGAGGGTGAAGAGCTTAATGATGAATGCCAAAGAAGAAAGCGAATTGACAATGTGCACAGATGTCGATCGAAACGACAAGTCGCGAATCTGCGAACCAGGATCCGTCCAGGTCATCGGTCGCCGTCAAATTGAAATGTACAGCCGTTTGATCCATACGGTAGATCACGTGGAAGGATTCTTGCGACCTGAATTTGATGCATTGGACGCCTTCCTCTGTCACACTTGGGCTGTCACAGTCACCGGTGCTCCCAAGACCTGGGCCATTCAATTCGTCGAAGACAATGAGCGATCACCAAGGCACTGGTATGGAGGTGCTGTAGGAATGGTCGGCTTTGACGGTAGCCTGAACACTGGATTGACGCTACGAACGGTTAGAGTGAAAAACGGGGTTGCTGAGGTAGGTTCGTTTCGCGCATTGCATGCCTCTCCCAAAGAAGATATCCCCAGCGTGCAGCTAACAACATGGCTACGATTGAAAGGTTCGTGCTGGGGCCACGCTTTTGTACGATTCCAATCCACCCGCAGAAGAACTCGAGACGGAGCTTAAGGCCTCTGCCATGATTGATGCAATCGTTCAAAAGGGTCCTGAAGACGAGTTAGGAACCGTTTCCAAACTTGTTCCAAAGCCGGTCCTTGTGGGCAATGGAAAGAACCTCATTTTGATTGATCACGAAGATTCATTTGTACATACGCTTGGGAACTATCTTCGCCAAACTGGAGCGACTGTTACAACACTAAGAAGTGGTCCTTCAGCGTTGAAAGCACTGGAGTCCATGGCGCAAGCTGGCAAGAAACCAGATCTGGTAAGTTTAGGTTTATCGTTTTTCGCTATAGAGTTCGATGACATGCGCTCATGATGAAGCTTTTGCCAGGTCATTCTTTCTCCTGGACCAGGCAACCCGTCGGACTTTGGCCTCTCTAAAACAATTGATGTTTTGACCAAGCACAAAATTCCAGCGTTTGGAGTTTGCCTGGGTCTGCAGGGCATGGTCGAGCACTTTGGAGGCACCCTTGGCGTGCTCGGATACCCCATGCATGGCAAACCTTCCGGCGTGACTCTGACCGCCGAAGGAAAGGCCGCGAACAGTATTTTCGAAGGTCTCCCCGATACATTCGAGGTTGCCAGATATCACTCTTTGTATGGAATCAAGGAAAGGCTTCCATCTTCCCTGAAAGTGACTGCCCTCAGCGACGACGGCATTGTGATGGGAATCCAGCACAACGAACTACCGTTTGCGGCTGTTCAATTTCACCCAGAGTCTATACTGACAAGCCCGGCTCACGGCATGACAATTCTGCAGAACGCTCTGTCTGTATTGCACTATTCAGAGGGATCCGCCGAAGAAAGGGCCACATCTGGTGCAGAATTGGTGGGCATCCTAGAGCAGAAATCCGAGGATCAGTTGCAAGCAAAGCTTGAAAAAGTTGGGTTGTCTACTTCGGGCTCGAAGAGTGATATGGTTGTCCGGCTAGCTCTCTGGATGCACAAGAGCAAAGAAGCCAAATCTGGACGTCTTCCACTGGAAGACAAGTCAGCTACAGAACTTCGAGAACTGAAAGCGAGCCTTGGCATGAAGGGCTCATCTGGTTCCAAAGAGGAGTTGATTGAGCAACTGAAGACTTGCCTACTCTAGTGGAAACCTGAAACTAATAGATACTCTAGTGGAAACCTAAAACTAATAGAGATGTTCCTGCTGACGAGTTTCGTGCTGCCGCACACCTACCGGTACGATGTACAGCAGCATCATTCGGATCGTGTCGCGTTGCATCCCGAATACATTTTAGCTATCACATCAAAGTCACACGGTCAAGCACCAGATTAAAGAAGAAACGAGGTGGTCCCGAGAAGCATTGGAATGACTTAGTCTTGTGGTTGCGGGCTGGGGGCTTCTCTATCATGCTGGTTGGGAGGATTGTTCCGTCTGGAATTTGCACAGGAGTAGAACGGAACGCAAAAATCTTGCTCCTTCCGCCTGTGCAAGCTTGATCGCGGAAGAGACCAGGGCTTTGGCCAGACGACTAGAATGCTCTTGCAGCTTGAAGCTGGTCATCATTACGGTGCCTGCGTCAGTTGCACGATGGACAACGTGCAGGTACAACTCGGTACTGGCTGTAGCTGTACTTCCTGTGCATGTAGGTAGTCCCGGAATGTGATAACATGACTGAGGGGCGCAACCCCCCTCAAGCAGCCAAAGCCTGCGCTCTCGAGTAGTGACCCTCTCTTCCGCCACCCAACGAAGGAGACGGGAGCCGGGAGGCTATAAGAAAACACTTCGACACAACCGCACAAGGAACAGCGACGATGGTGTGTTTGGCGGAAGAAGAAGGTCTCCCCAGCCGAGGGCAAAAGAAGGAAAGGAAACGACGAGGACTTGTATATCGACGAAAGTACCATGTTCGTGCGCTGTGTCAGTCAGTGGCCTTCTTCTGCGTTGTGGTAGGGTTCGTGGTGTACAATGGCGCTCTAGAATTTGGAATGACCGGGCCATCGGCGATACATACTTTCTTCGGCAGCAACAATGAGAGAAACCTACACGAGCTCACAGCAGCACCAAAGGAGCCGCTAGATACGTTACCACCCGGATCGAATTCATCCGTAAATGGGATGACGACCAGTGAGTCATCCGCTAGCAACAGCACTGCTCAAACCGAGGGAAAGGACTGTTCTGCCAACAAAGCTGATCCGGCATGGCTGTTAGTCTTCTACTTCATCGGGGTTCTATACATGTTCTTGGCACTGGCGATTGTATGCGATGAGTTCTTTGTTCCGGCCCTTGAAGAAATGAGTTCCAACAGGAGGATGAACCTCAGTATGGACGTGGCGGGCGCCACTCTCATGGCAGCGGGAGGCTCTGCTCCAGAACTATTCACCAGTCTCTTCGGTACCTTTGCCGAGAGTGAGATTGGATTCGGTACCATTGTCGGTAGTGCCGTCTTCAATGTCCTCTTTGTCATCGCCATGTGTGCGCTCATGTCCAAAGAAGTCTTGAGCCTCACTTGGTGGCCGCTCTTCCGCGATAGTCTCTACTACGCCATTGGACTCACCGTATTGGCCATCTTTGTGGGAGTGGTGACTCCCAACGAAATCTACATCTGGGAATCGGTGGTGCTTTTTTGCCTCTACTTGGGCTACTGTTTCCTCATGTGGCAGAATGCAAACATCTACAAGGCAATCACCGGAAAGGAACTCGAATACCCCGATGAGGACGAGGATGAGGATGAGGACGGACCAGCAGAAGCCAATGGAGAGGACGAAGACGATGAACCAGGTGACCCTGAAAGACCAAAACCTGTCAAGAGACTCTCGGCTTCCGCGATCGATCAAAATATGAAAACAGACTCGGTCTCCCACTTTCGTTGGCAGGGAACTTTCCGCGCAGGAATCCTCAAGCTTCTACGTGATCCAGAGTCATGGGTTGAAACAGCAGGTGTAGGAATTGTTGCCAAGATTGCCGGTGATGCCGACTATGTCTTTCGTCAGATTGATACAAACGGTGACGGGAGCATCGACCGGAGCGAGCTGAAAAAGTTATTCGAAGTTCTGGATTGCAATCTTACGAATAGCGAGCTAGATCAAGTCTTCCAAGAGCTGGATATCAATAATGATGGGGAGGTAAGACGTTTTCGCACTGAAGCACCTTGGTCCTTGGGAACGGCAGGCTCATTCGTTTGTTCTATTCCTTTCAGATTTGTGAAGACGAATTTAGTAGGTGGTACATACAATCAGAAGAGAGAATCAGATCACAAGTCAGACATGTATTCAACGAGATTGACGCCAACAACTCAGGCACAATTGACAAGGGTGAGCTCAAGACTCTCCTTGAGACACTTGATCCCCGAGTATCCGACGCAGATGTGGAGGAAGCCATCAGCTCCATGTACAAGTCGGGCTCAACAGAAGAAATTTCATTTGAGGAGTTCGACGCTTGGTACAGACAGTCGATCCTCTTCGAGAGACAGAAAAAAGCAGTAGAAGAAGATATGCATGGAGTCATGGAGAACCTGACACCCCCCTGGGGCGAAAGCTTTCTGACTTGGTTGCAATATCTTATCGTTTTCCCGCTGGTCCTGGTTTTGACGCTTACAATCCCAGATGTCAGACGGCCGGGTATGAGTCCCTGGTCTTACTTGGCTTTCTTCCTGTCCATCGCTTGGATCGGAGCGTTCGCCTTCTTCATGGTTGACTGGGCAGAAGTCATCGGAAACACCATTGGAATTCCTGATGTTGTCATGGGTCTGACCATCCTTGCCGCCGGCACATCTGTCCCTGATATGCTTTCAAGTGTTATTGTGGCAAGAAGAGGAGAGGGTGACATGGCGGTATCAAGTTCCATCGGTAGTAACATCTTCGACATCCTGGTTGGATTGCCTGTGCCGTGGTTCTTGTTCACCGTTTGGCCAAACGGCAAGGACTTTGTTTACGTAAGTGCTACTCTTCTTTTCGTATTTGCTCGCCCGCTCTTTGTTGTATCCGACTTGCTCATCTTTGAATTTTTTTGTTGCGCCACAGATCGAATCCGATGGATTGACAATTTCAATCCTGATTTTGCTTGGAATGCTTGTATTCGTCATTGCGGCAGTGCATTGCCAGGGTTGGAAATTGACAAACACACTGGCGGCTCTGATGCTGCTGTTTTATTTTGGATTCCTTGTGCAAGCAATTATCCAGGAACTACCCTTTGTCACCTGTTAAATGGGCCGCACTATTACGTGCGCGCTTCAGGGTCTTGGGTTTTTTGTTTCTTGCACGCACGAATAGTTAGATATCCTTGTACTCTGTAAAGCAAACGGATGAAGCTACATGTGCTCTTCTTAAAAATGCATTCATATCATCCTCGAAGTGATTCGATTCATGCCTCGAGCAGCCAAAATAGAAACCAGAACGCGTGAATCTTTCAATCGTTTCGTTTAGGTAGATATTATGTTCCGGTACCATCATACCGTCGAAGAGCCCAGGCCTGGCAACAACCGTAGCTGGGCCGAACCAGAAGATTGTCCAGGCGATCAAAACGGGATGACGCTGAGTTCGTGTCTTTCTCGCTTCCGTGGAAGCATCTTGCAAGCGACGAGGAGGACACCACACTTTCTTCATTTCCGACAAAGGTGCAAAATCACTCTTTGTTGGAGAAAGCAAGAAATTCAAAATCCTGAATTTAAATGCTGAACGAGCTACCTGGCACTGTACAATACTGTAGTGCTGACCCTGATCCATCAGTTCACTCTGTCTCTATGCATTGACTTGAACGACAAACAAGACAACATTTAGCAGCGATACGAAAGAGTTGTGCTGCTTCGATTGAAATTCTTGTGCTTTTAAAACCCTTTACGTATAATTTTGTATTTGGCTTTTTCCACGATTCTTAACCTAATTTTTTAAATTGCACTGTGGGAGCTGTGAATTGTTGCGGCTTTCTTTGCTTGCACTCCTATTTCTTCTTTCATGACTTGCTGGGTGTGGGTGACACTTTGGCTTTTGCTCCTTGACGTGCGAGGTACTTTCTTCGAATTTGGTAGAAAATGACAGAGAACACCAAGATAGCTCCAATAGCTGCCTTGAACGAGATTTGGTGATTGAAGATGAATGCCGAAATGCAAATGGAGAACATTTGTCGCGTAGTCATGATGATTGTAAAGGCAATGGGACCAAACTCTTTGATGGTATAAAAGATGCAGAGTTGTCCTGAAGCCGACGTAATGGCCGTAATGACATTGTATCGAAAGGCGACAGGATTGGCCAGTAGGAATTCCCATACAATGGGGAAATCTCCAGTGATGAGAAGACCGGTGGTAGTGATAATAATAGCGGACATGTTGACTCCGAGCATCATTTGGTATGGGTCTACATTGGCTCTTCCATATTCGGTGTAGACTCTGTCTTGCCACTGTGAAGTGAAAGAATCAAAAGAGATATAGCAAAGCAAAAAGACCAATCCGATCAACTCGGTGTTTTTATCGGAATCGGAGCTTTTGCTCATGATTGAGAAAATGGCGACTCCAACAGTGATGAGCAAGGCTTCGACGTACTGTCCGAGGGGATAGTTGGTTCCCTTCAAGACTTTGCCCATCATCATGACCGGAATGATCTTGGAGCTCTTGAAGACGGTCTGGACTGGGAAAGACACGTATTTGAGGGATGCATATTGACTCCAGCTACTCATGGTGTTGGATAGAGCACAGGGAGTGAATGCGATCAATGGTGCTTTGTTGTTGGCAAAGAAGGCTCCCTTTCGGATTCGTACCGAGATGAGCGCGACAATGACGGCCAAGAATCGATTGGAAAAGACACAAAATGCCGCGGAAGGGAATTTTCCTTCGGGCACTCGATTTGTGGGATGGAATTGAGTCGTCATGATGAGCTCTTGCATGTATCCCCAAGTCAAGTAGGAAGCTTGCAATCCACAAAAGCACAACGCGAACTTGAAGGCTTGCTTGAAGAATTCGGGGTTGTGGCCGAAATATTGGTGAAACAGGGCGTCCAGACCACTGTGGCCTTTGGCCATGCCGCCGTTGTCGTTGTTGTCGCCCATGGGTAGGGTGTGGTCGCTATGGTTACTGCTGGTACTGTTGGTATTTTCAATCAACGGTTGAGTTTGACTGCGAAACAAAGCAAAACAAAGCAAGGCAATAAAGACATCGTCACAAGTTAGAGCACAGATCTTTCTCGCCAATGACCGATCGACTCGTATCGTTTTCTCTCACCTTGCCATGCCCTGTTCGTCTTCTTCGCCCATTGATGAGGATCTTGTAGTATCGTGCGCAGGAGAGTTCGCAGGACTCTTTCTATTTCTCACCATCGGTATTTATGAATCCGTTGTGTAGATAGAAGAGGGCTCCTTGGCTGGTCTGCTCTGCTTCGTGATGGCTTTGGACCGAAAGACTTTCAAGCTTCTTGACCGCCAAGCGCCAAGTTGCCATTTGCAGCAATTTTGCGCCGCCCGGTGAACCGGGAAGCGCGCTCGGCAGTCCCAAGAACCAAGTGGTGAAAGAAAGGAAGATGGGGGAACATGTCGCGCGAGCAATCGCGCAGAGCTCTTCTTGACTTATTTGCCACCAACAATCCTCGTCTCACTTTTTCTTTGATTCTTCAAACTATTTTCTTTTTGCTGCTGCAAGAGTAATCCAAGTATTGGCTAGTCGACGAACGAACAAACAATGATGGACGTGGAGAGCTATTCGGTGGTCCTGCAAGGCCTCAAATCCCCGGAAAACAAGAGAGATCCTCGAAAACTGAGGTTGGCCGCTGTGGCAGCTGCCATGTCCGAAGTGGTGGGAGCAGGCAGCCAAAACCAAGTTTCAGCGGCCAAGGTCTATGCCGCCACTGTTTCGGCTCTCGAAGGAACTCTGAAAGAAAATGCTTCCACACCTGAAGCAATCATGGACTCAATATCCACTCAAGTGGCTCTGCTGGAAGTATTGAGAGTCACTGTCCCTCATGTCTCCAATCCGGCCATCTTGGATGCTTCTTTACCCTTATCGTCGCGGTTGCTGTTGGCCATGGTCCAGTCGGTCAATGGCATGGAAGATAATAGCAACAACCTACTGCTCTCCACCAAGGATGATTTGGGAGCAATCACGGGGATTCTGAAAGGAGTTTGTAAGGCAACCACGGAAATTATCAAGCATGTTACCCGAAAATGCGACGCCAAATTGCTCAAACAACTCTATTTTGGAACACTGATCCCAGCTGCGATCGACACAAATCAGTCCAGATCCAAGTTGCGCGCTGTCGCTCAAACGGGGATATTGGAAATCTTGGTTATTCCACAACAACAATGCCATCCCACCATCAAAAAGTCCACTACAACCCTTTTTCACAACAGACTTCGGCAGGTCCAGGCTTCTGTCAAACAAGGGGCTGCAGATCCTCCCCCAGAGTTGCTTCCTCTCGTCACGTTTCTGGAAAAATGTATTCTTTTTCTCGACGTGGCAACACTGGGAACCGATCTGATGGAACTGTTGGTGGCATGCTTGAATCAAGCTGCCGGTGCCAGTAGCAGCAGTATTTCGGATTTTGTGGCCATGAACAACCACAACAAGGCACTCTCAGCACCACGCCTAGTCGCCATCAACGGCTTACTTTCGGTAGTCATGGCCCTGGTTGGGGCAAACGACAATGAACATCTCCAGCAGAACACAGCCACAGCAAAAACACTCTATCCTAGAGTACTGGCGACACTGCTTCAAAGTAAGCCTACTGTCGTCTTTCATGAAAGTGCGGCCGATATGGAACTTATTCGTCAAGGGAGAACGCTCTACAGTGATGTGTTGCTTGCGTCGCTCAAAGGAGTCATTGAAACAGACGCGGAAATGGCATGCAAATTGTTCCCGGTCGTGGTGCAACTTCTTGTACAGCTTGGTCGGACGACCAGTGACGACGATGTCGACGAAGTTGCTGCAAATGCCATCTTGACAGAGTTGGGAGCATTGTTCCGGTCTCATTTCTCCAAATGCATACTGTTGTCGCCGTCCTGTTCCAGGCAAAGCATTGACAAGTGCGTTGAAGGTTCGTTGGCGGCATTGAAGACCGTGGTACAACCAGCTTTCAAGCCAGTTTGGGCAACGGCTCTTCGGACCCTAGTGATCCTGCTTTCCATGGTAGAGGAACATGAGCAGGTGCCGGAGATTGTGAGAACTATCTTGAAGCTAAGACAACAAGTTGCAGACGGTGATTTAGCGTCATGTCGTGCTATTGATGAATCAGTTGGATCGCTGGTTCAGAGCGTGGGAATCGAGACCTTCTGGGGCTGGGTGGATTGGACGGGACGAAGTGGATCCACCGTCAATCAAGCATACACTTGGCTTGTACCCGTCATGAAGACTGCCTCAAGTGCTGCGCAGGAAAAGAGACCTCGGCTAGAATTCTTCCGAACTCATGTCCTCGATCTTGCACGTCGCTGTGCTACCTTGGGTGCCAGTAGCAACAGTACGAGCAGCCGAAGCAATTACGATGCGTGGGTAGTCAGCCTTTGGTCGTTGTTTTCCTGCTTTTGCCACCATCCTTCCGACCTGTCAGATTACCTGGAAACGCTCCTACCCACACTTGTAAAAGCCATGGAAGATGAACGGTATCCTCAGCTATTGGTAAGTACTGCCAGCGCGGGAAATGCAACTTGCTTGTTGTGATGGTACGCTAAATGCTTGCTTTGATCCTGTTAGGGTTTGATCTGCTTTGGGTTGGAAACGCTTTCCAAGGATGCGAGAGAGAGAATGAAAATGGATGATGGCACTCTATCGGAAGAGAACCAACTGGAAGCAGAAGTCTTATCGAAGGCTTCTGTGGCGTTACTTCCTGTACTTTTCAAGAATGTTGAGAGACTTCACTCTTCCTCTGACTCGCAACCTGCGGACGACATGGAAGAAGACACTACGGTGCCTAGAACAGTTGATGTCGACGCAAATCTCGTGCAACGAATCACCGAGGCGATTGCCTCTCTGGCAAGCCTCGCACCCAAACCCTTCTTGCAGAAACTCTTCAAGAAGGTGTTGAGTCGGTTGTTGGCGGAGACTCAAGCAGATGACGTTGAAAAGATGAAAGTGTACTCGCTGCTGTGTCTTTCGCAAGCTCTGGTGGCTTCTGGTGCCCTACAAGAGTCCAGTGTATCGTTGCTGTACCGTACCCTGAAGCCAATGATTAGAGACGACAAACTCGATTCCAAAGTGCAAAAGATGGCTTACCGTGTCCTGCTGGAAATCTGTCAGTGTTACCACTCATACGTGGCGGAGAAGGAAACTATGGCAGACCTAATCGACCTATTGACTGGGACGGCCGTATCAGCAAATATTCCAGCACGATCGATTCGACTGAAGTGCATTGGCGCTCTGGTTGACGGATTTGGTCCAGGGGGTCTATCGGAGAAAGTAAGTGATATGATGACGCCATGGAAGTTCCATAGATTGTTCTCCACTACGTACAAAAACTCACTCTCTTGCAAAATCCAGTCCTTGGTGGGAAAGATCACCGGAGAGGTGTTGCTGTGTCTGAAAGACTCCAAGGGTAAGACCAGAACTGCAGCGCATCAAGCTTTGCTGTCATTGGCCAAAGCACTAGGAGACGCCGTAGAATTCCTTCAAGTTGTGACTTCGGCACTTGCTTCTGAAACGAGCCATATGAGGTCAGCTGCTGTTGATGCGTGTAGTAGATTGGTATTTGAGTATGCCAGAGAAGATGTCAAGCTGCAGCAGTCGCTGCCCTCTTTGCTGCAGACTGTTTTGATATTGTTTGACGAGCAGTCCAGGGAGGTCATCAAATCTTCTGTGGGTTTCGTACGAGTTTGTGTTGTGGCAATGGAACCTGATCAACTGCAGCCAATGCTACCTGCGGTTGTGGGTTCGCTTCTCAAGTATCACAAGGGCAAAGACCGATTCCGCAAGAAAATCAAGATCATTTTGAAGAAGCTTGTCCGCTTGTACGGCTACGATACATTGATGCCTCTTGTTCCGGAGAGTGACAACAGGCTTCTGGTGCATATGCGCAAGCTTGACGAGCGCGCAAAGAGACGAAAGGCTGAAGGCCGCTCGGAAGCAGCTGTAGAAACTGGCGATTTCGACGATCTAGTTGACGAAGATGAGGTTGATTCAGATGATGGCAGAACCTTGTTCACCGGGGCCACCGGCTTAACGCGCAAGACAAGAAAGACGCAACTCAGCCGGAAGACTGTCCAGAGTACAAAAACCAGCAATTCACGAGCGCAAAGTAAAGCCTCCAATCGTAGCTCTACCAGACTCTCGAGTGAGCAGGATGGTGAAATCGTCAACATTCTGGGGTTGAAAGAGAAAGAATTGGCTGGTAATCACAACAGTGACGAAGATTCTGACGACGACGATGATGATATGGAATTTGATGACACGGGAAGACTTGTGGTCTTCGACGATGATGAGAGGGAATCAAATCTCGACAATGATGGATTGACCGAAGGAAGTATCATTGCCAAGAGGCGCCGATTGGGTAGCAATGCAGACGGCAAGAGCGCGTCAGCAAGATCCACAAAGCAAAAGCGTGGGAAGACCGTGCAGCAGTTGGGTGCTTCCTACAAGAGTTCAAAGGCGGGAGGAGATGTCATGAAGAAGGGCCAAAAGTACGAGCCGTACGCCTATGTTCCTTTGGATGGAAGGAGCTACTCCAAGAAGAATCGTCGTCGTGCTGTCGAGCAGATGGCCACAGTTGTTCCTCATGGTGGAAAGCGGAAAAGGAAATGAGATGCCTCACGAACCAGTTCTAGCTAGCTAGGGTAGAACGATCGGTATTCTCTTATTAGCCATTCATCATAGAAATATGTCTAATCGTAGCAAGTTTTTGTTTGCCTCGTCAGTAACTTCAGCAGTACAATAGATTCTTTTGAACACACGCTGCATGGTGCATGGTGCTCTCCACCAGCGAGAAAGTTAGCTGCGCATTGGCACGGCTGTGGCCCGTTCATGGTGACATGCAATATCTTATGCCTTTTAGCTTCTAAACTAGCTAGCTAGCTGGCTTGCCTGGTCAGCTCCCTAAACTAGCCAGCTAGCTGCGGGCACACCTCGACAGAAAAATAATTTCGTCTCCTGGAGACGACTTGCTTTTAGGGGTAATGGTATGGATGGGGGCAGAGGTTTGAATTATACCCCGCGCGCATTACTTAGAAGGCCCTGTAGAAGTCTACGTATTCGACTAGTATTGTATTGACGGGATACAGTCAACGCATGTACATGCACATGAAAGTCGCCTTGCGTTCTTCACATTTTAAAAGTTGGCTCCCAATTTTTCGGGGTCGCCTGTGATTTGATTGGACGCTTGATCTTTTTTCAATGACTGACATTGAATGACGTACGAAGTGCAATGCGAATCTTAGAAAGGTAGTTGTAGTAATAAAAGTTTTTATATACAGATTAATTTACCCTATATCCCTACTGTTCACACTTATAACAAGAACCCGTCTTCTTGCTGGAACATTTCATCGTATTGATCTTCTCCTAGGACAGAAAGCCCAGTAGTATCCTTAAATCTTGCAAGCATGTCTCTCATTCGTTGTGGCATGGCAAAGTTCTTTGGATCCCAATCCAGCTTCTTCAATAAGAACAAACCACTCATGGTTCGCACCCTTGATAACACCACGTAAGCCCAGTTTTGACAGTATCGCATGAATGTACCAATAACCACACTGCAGTATATCCCTGTAATTTGTGTCCAGTTGTCGCAGAATTGCTGATAATCGGGAACTGCTTACCCTTCATCTTGGTGTGTACAACTTCTCCGTCATAGAACCATCTGGTACTGAAAGTGTAGTCTTGCTCTGTTACATGAAAAGTACGTGGCATAATAGTCTCCATTTCATGTTCCACAAGGATAGATTTGACTTGACCTGAGAAAAAGCCCGAATCTTGCAGCCGTTGTCGAGTTGAATAACCATGGGGTGCAACCATCCTCACATTCACCTTTCTCACAAAAAGCCGAGATCCATTGGCTTCTCCATTCGGAACATTCGTGTTCTCTGTAAAATTACAGGACACCCCTTATATAAATTCAAAGCAGGATCAACACGTTTCGTGAGTCCGAACCGGGTTTTAACGAGTCTTCTCCACATGTTGAAAAGAGTGCTTTAAAACCGAATTGCTCTTAACAGGGACCAGTGTCCCTGCTTGATTGGCCATTTGAAGATCGTCCATGAAAATGAGTACTGCATCCATCAGCACGGAATCATCAGCAGGTTGTTCTTCCGCAAAATCTTCGAAGATAACTGAGTTAATGGCATCTCATCTCGATTCAGATAAGT